CTTAAAAACCCCCTCCGGGTTTAGTCGACCCCTTTTTGGGGCCCCGTAAAGGTTTCCCGTTACCACGGGGGTTAAAAATTAAAACCCTTAACTTAACCTACCTTGGGGTGGGGGGTTCCCACCTAAAACTTGGGAAAACGGGTTACTAACGGTAAACCCTAAAGGTAAAACCTACCCGTTTCCCGTTTCCCCCCCCTAAAACCAAAGTTTACCCAAACCGTTACCCGTTCGGGGTAGTACGAAACCCTTTAGGTTTTCGTTTTACCGTTTAGGTTACCCTAACCGTAAAAACGGTAAAAGTCCCTTCCCGGTAGGACTTTAACCGGTAAAGGTCGCCTAACCTCGGTAACGGTTAGGTGGGAAACCGGGGGGGTAGGGGGAGGTTGTAGGACCGTAAGGGAAGGGTAGGGGGAGGGGGGAAGGTAAGGTACGACAGTGTCGTGGTGTAGTGCGAGCTAGTGGTAGGTAGTAGGTAGTACGTCCGGTCGGGGGGGGGGGGGTGGGGGAATTAGTGTGTGAAAAATGAAACTAGCTGCACAAGCTCAGGGCCAGAAATCAATATGAGACTGGGGCGATGCAGAGTACACTGGGGGTTCCCTCCTGTGTTCAAATCTTAAAAGGGAGTCACATTCAAGGGGATGGTTTGAGGGTACCATTCTACCCCCTGCTGACCCTCCCTCCGTCAGCACAGAGAGCTCCAGAGAAGGTGTGTTACTAAGAGAGAAGGGACGCCTGCTGGTGGTGTATAGCTTCCTACAGTGTTCCTAAAGAAGAGGTGGTTGTTGCCACACATGCACAGTACAATGTTCTGGGGCTAGGCAGAGCTTAGAGATAATGTATAGACAAGCAGGAGCCTCCAAGGGGCTCGTAGGGGTGTAAGCACTCACTAAACCTCTTTGTACAATTCCCCAAAATCAGGATTCTGGAAGTGTGTATATAGTCTTTAGTTGTCATTTGCACACACACAACTGCTGGGAAACCAGGCGTTAAGCATCTCTTCTTCAAAAGTATGTTTAAGTAAATGTGTGTTTTCATCTCTGTGAGACTGTATGAGGAAAAACAAAAAGCAAGTCTGTGGCTCGTCTGTGTTTGAGTGTGCCAGTGTGTCAATAGTGCTTGCCTATGTGCATCAATTCAATGGCAATACAGTGTGTGTGTGTGTGTGTATGTATGCGTGTGTGTGTGTGTGTGGGTCTAAGTATGTGTAGCTCAGGAGGACATGCACTGGACGTTGTCTGGACCTCCCTCCTCTTCATCGGAGGAATCTGGAGAGCTCCACGACTCGTCTGTGTCTGCGTCAGCACCCTCACGGCGGGCCTGTATCCAGACAGAGAGAAAAGAGAGAAACCTATTAATGGCTGATATGGTATGCCAACACACTGGGAGAACAAAAACTTCCAAAAGAACAAAGAAATCAGGGTGTTGTATTGTTTGAGTGTTTACCCTGGGAGGCCTTCTGTTCCTCATGTGTCTCATCAGGAACCACAGCAGCTGGGTGTCGTACTGGTCGCCATGACGAACACTGTCTTCATCTCGCTCCCGCTTGTTCTTCTTCATCACCTTCACAAACACAACCGACAGGTGTTAGTGTGGAGAACAGGGGCGCAAAGGGGAAAAAGAATATGCCTTTGAATTTTCAAACTTAAAAAGAACCACTTGAATAGCCATTATTGCCATATTATGGGAAGTAATGATAACAATTCAATCAGGGACAAAGAAGATTAAGTTGACCTCCATCCATAACAATACAGAGTTAGCTTTTTAGCAGTGCAATAGACATTTATAATGGACAGTTCAGTTAAATGAAACTTTCATTTTTTTATTTCAAATAACTGGTTTGGATAAATGAGTAAAACTGGGTTTGTACAATATACATGCAGACTGTTAAAAATGATTCTAAATGGTTTAACCCAAGCCCTGTCTCTACAAGGCAGTGGGTGAAATGTTACCACAACAAAGAGTATAAATAGACTAACCCATAAAAAGCAGAATTAAATGTAGGGATGATTTAAAAATACCTCTTTCAGACCCTTGAGTCCAGTGGGGCATTCAGCTGTGGGGGCCCACAGTTTGACGTCGTGGTCCAGCCCACTGGTGGCCATGCCTGGCAGGTGGGGGTGTGGCTCCAAACAGTTCACCTGTCATTGTCGAGGGGGGGAGAAAAATGACTGAGATGAAGTTTCCGATAAATTGAATATTCTCGGGATGCGTGTCTTAGCAGTAAAACGCTAACTCTACTGCGAATACGACCAGATGAAGACAACGAGATTACAGAAGCACTACTGAGTGTGTTTGGACAGCCTTTGCCAAGTCATCTTTGAACCCAACAAAACAATATGAATTCTCTGTCTTTGACTCACCACTCCTCCCCTGTCTCCCTCCATAAACTGGACAATGCGAGCAGAGTTCTTGTCCCACAGGTAGATGTGTCCGCAGTCACTGCCACTGACCACAAACTCACTGCACGGCCCATAGAAGTTCACCCCCTTCACTGTGAGAAAGAAAAGTGGACTCAGTTTCAGTCTGTGTGATAACCGAATCGTTTAACAGTCCTGCAGTACAGATTCAGGAGAAAAGCACATATACAGTTCTAAACAGCATGAATGAATGGTTAACAGGTAAATGTAGGGATGGGTACCGAGCCCCGGTATTAAACGGGCCCGGGGGCTGAATTATTAAAGACCGTGGTACCGTTAAGCTCCGACGTTAACGGTCTTTTTATCGGTACTGGAGACATGTAAAAAATATATGTATATGTATTATTGCTAAACAAACATTATATTGCAGTTTATTGCAGGCTGCTACGTGCAGAAACACACACACACACGGAGGAGATGGCGGAGAGAACGCGCTCCGAGGTGTGGTTAAACTTTACCCGTCTCGATGTGGACAATCCTCGTTACCTAAAGTGCAATAAGAGTTTAGCATGTAAGGGCGGTAACACGAGCAATTTGTCTAAACATTTTGCTAAAGTGCTCCACATCCAGACGGAGGAATGCACCGGGTTCCACTGGCTTTCTAGTAGCTCTGTAGCCCCGTCCACGAGTAACGTTTCCACGTCAGGTGTTATGAATGCTAGCAGCAACACACGGAGTTAACTCAATGATACAAACATGGGTTAATGATTAGAGGTAACTGAGTTATTTAGTTTGTTAAAGTTTCAGCTATTCTGTTTACAGTTCTGTCATCAGATTATTTAAGACGATTTGTTAAAACATTGTTGTTTCTTTTGATGTGAAATATTATGTATTTAATTTAAATAAAAAGCAATGTTAGTTTTGTTCACAATTTGTTTAGTTAGTTTACCTTTTTCTTTTTTCCAAAAGAACCGATAAGAGTACCGTTAAAAGACCGGACCGATAAGCGGTATCGATAAAAGTAGTAGTACCGTTAAAACCTTAACGATACCCATCCCTAGGTAAATGCTTCGGAAGTTGGGCCATAACTGATGTGGTTGATTTTGAAAACTATGGTCTTTAAGCAAAGGGTGCATCTTTATTACTGTTCTTACATGCTTGCTATAAATAGGAACTGAAACTAGCACCTGTAGCATTATTGCGGTGACCCTTGTATCTCCTGCGATAGTCTGCCCCGTCACTGTGGTTGGAGTCAAACAGGTAGATGTCCTCATCGTTGTAACTGATCAGCAGCTCTGAACAGAAAAAAACAAGTCAAATTATGTTTGCTTTCTTTGAACGCAATGTTTTCGAAGACAGAACAAATTGGATTTAGTCGATTTGTGTATCTCGCTCTGAACTCGACCTTAGTGATGTTCTGCAAAGATGAGAGCACATGCTTTTATAGAATAATCCTCATTCTGTGTACGTTTCACTGATTGCATTGTGGTTGCATCAGGAAGGCTGAGAAGGCCTGAAATGTTGGTATTTTCAAAAAGTAAATCAAGAAAGTATCAGGTGAAGGGATCATTATTTTTGTTCATAACCGAATTAGAAAAAAGGGTAGAGATAATCAAAATACATTTACATATAAACAGGAAACAGGATTATGTAGATTGCAGGGAAATTAAATCATGCTAATCTACTGTATTTTCTTACAGCATGCATGCTATTCTGTACTTAAATGTAAGATAACCATTTTGAATGCTTTGACTTTTTCTTTCAATGTTAATCAGTGTTTTACCTGTGCCATCGTGGCTGTACACAAGGCAGGTGATGTTGGTTTTGGACTCACTGGATACCAGATGTGAGGGACAAAACTTTTTCAGCACACCATTGTTGTCGTTCTCATTGATCTTCCTCTGGTCATAGATCCTAAAGAGGGGGAGAAAAAGAGACAGTGAGAACAGAAGAAATACAGAAGTGACATCTAAGAAATAGAAAGCAACAATATGAAATATGATCCTGCTCCATACCTCACATACTGATCCCTTCCTCCCACAGCAAAGTGTTGTGTCTTCGCTGGGTTGACATAGATGGTGTACAAGCCCACTTTTTTATCCCCCTCCTTTACGGTCACCAGTTTACTGCCAATGAAAGGAGACACAAAGGAAAGGCACGTGTTAGCTCTGGCAAAACGATTTATACTGTATCGAACGCAGGAAAAGTGAAAAGAGAAAGTTGTTGAATGGAGCAGGGGTTCCCAAACTTCACCATGCCAAGGACCCCCATATAGCATTACCCTCTGGCGGGGAACCCCTGTTGCAATTTTTTTTTTTTAATGATGAGTACATTATGATGGAGAATATGACAAATTAATCATACAGCTTGATACATTTTCTTAATATATATTTGTATATTTGTATTAATAATTAATAATCAGTTATTCTTCTAGAAAATATTTTGTATTTATCTTTTGTTTGTCATTCATTACATTCATTGTGTCTTCTGTTATGAACATTCACACAATATTAAACAGTAATATCAACAGTAAATATATTTTTAAAGCATTTTTAAAGCATTTTTAAAGCGATTTCTGTCTTTATAATATTATATAATTTTGAACAGTAATATGAACAATTAACATATATTTTTAGCATTTTTGAAAGCTACTTATGTCTTAATATTATATATAATATTCAACAGTAATATTAACAATAAACACATTTATATTCATATATATAAACATCAATAGTTGCTACATCCGTGCTCTCATCCAGCTGCTGAGCGAAATATTCACTAGCTCTCACTTGCTCCAAAAGCTGAGCAGATACTCAGTTTCACTCTCAGTAGCGGCAGCTCGATTCTGATTGGCTTGAAGGGCGGTCGTGTGATTTCAAAAAAAAAAATATATATATGAATAAGTAAAAAATATTAAAAGATTGGCATCAAAGGACACATAGATTGATAGATATGCAGTTATTAATAACATCAAAAAAAAAAAAATGTAACTTTAAAAAAAAAATTCCCCTTTCCCTCAAACTTTGCGTGACCCCCCTAGCGGACACCCGGGGGTCGGGGCCCCCACTTTGAAAAACACTGGAATAGAGGACATTCACCGACATTGATGAAAGGATGTTTGTGTAAAAACACTGCATGGTCTAAAAAGGCCATAGTTATATTAAAACAAGACACTGCCTGAACAGAAATCAGTGATTAGAAGTGTATTGTGTCAAAGTTTATGATATTTTCCTCACCTATTGCAAAAAGCCAAATTCAATTCCTGAGGTGAATGAATTTAAACTTGGACAACTTTAATTACGGTATCACTCACTTGGCGGGACGGTCAAGGCGCAGGTCAATACCAAACACCACAGCGTCCTCCCCCGCAGACAGAAAGGAGCAGGGGGAGTCTGGCTCCAGGGCCAGCTGGAACAAAAACAAGTAGAAACTAATATAAGCGCCTTAAAGTTGTATGCCTTTACAACAAAAGTCAAGTTGCAACTTTCATCCATGTCTGTCCTAAATGTCCACACTTCATAAATGTAAGCTATTAGACAAGATATTTTGTTTTGCAAGGTAGGGCTGCTTTATTATGGCAAAAATCATAATCTCGATTATTTGGGTCAATAATTGATATCACGATTATTAAAAAATAATTTACTTTGAAAACATCCATTTATTGAAAAAAAACATGTGAACAGTGTGTTTTTAACAGTTGATTACCCTGAAGTTTAAGTAGAATTCAACTGAAAAACCAATACAAAAATAATCGTTTTATTTAGATTATGTTGTTTTCATGATCGTCGCAAGCCAAAATCGTAATTGCGATTGAAATACGATTAATTGAGCAGCCCTATTGCAAGCTCACAGTTCAATTCAATGTAATTAATGTATTCAAAGTTTAAAAAAATTCAATCATAATGGAGATATGTGAAATGAGACACCCAGAGGAACTATCAAAACTTTTAGAATAGAGTCCAAGACGATAAACAAAAAGTATTTACAACACGTCTAGAATTTGAAAAAACCTTGGCCTTTCTAATCTTATCAGTTCGTCCTTGGGTCAAAGTGGATCTTTGTGCCAAATTTGAATACATTCCCCTCAAGTGTTTCTGAGATATACTGCATTCACACATCCATTGGCACATACAGTACAGACACTCACCTTGTGTGCCGCCCCTTTATGCTGAGCTACCCGCTTGGTGTTCTTGCAGCGCTGTGTGGCAGAGAGCTCCGCCACTCTGATCTGCCCATCTCGAGCACACATGGCCAAGGTGGAGTCTCCACTGTGAGGCAGGAACTTTGCCTGTGTGCATGAAGGGAAGGGGGAGACCCATTTTAAATGTCCGACTGCATTGGTCACTTCGTTGCCACTCACTACTCTCCTGTTCTTTATTCTATAACACATAGGTTTGAGCAAGCTCTCTGATTGGTCAATAGGCGTGTTTGATTCCACGATCAAACAACGATCAAATAGAACGTGCCTAATCACAAAGTATCCAGTGGCCTACACACGCCACTAGCCTACCGAAACTACTTCCATGAGCCTACATCGTGTGGTTTCCATAGCGACGTTTAGCGACACACAGACGTTACACTGTTATACATTGTCTCTCGTTGGAAAATCGGTAGCTACAAAATGTCAGATTTTAAAGTTAATTTTGATTTGTTGGGGGGCCTCAGTATTGATGAATGGTTGGACATGGACACAGACCACAAAACCAACGAAAGATTTGCGGCAACTGACGAGTTGAGTGCGTTGGAAAAAAAGTGCAACGAAAAGAGTACATTGGCGTCAACTACCTGGGCTGTCAAATGTCTCAAAGCGTTCTTAAAAGGAGAAAATGGTGGATTTCGGAACAGTGTCCAAACCGTTACCATGGGAACTACTTTCTAGGAACTACTTTCTGACGGAGATTAACTCAAGCAGAAAGCGTAGGTTTGGGAGCAAATTAGCCCACATTATGAAATTATTTTACGATATTGTTGATTACAATGATAGTTTGTGTAATAGAATCGCAATCATACACTTGAGGCCGTTCTTGAACGTCATTATTGACTCCAGTACTGCGGCAGGACCGAGGCGCTTGTCGCAGAACTGTCGTACCAATAATGACGTTCAAGAACGGCCTCTCGTGTATGATTGCTTAAACTAAACATCAATATAAAGCTATGACTCACCCTCATAATGAAATCAAAGTATATCATTATCATTGCCTTTGGTTAAATGATAGTGCTGTAGTGTTTGGTAAAGCGTTTTGCTTTCCTTACCTGAAAGACATTGCTCTTGTGGCCACTGTCAAACTCCAGCTCAGCACGGCGGATCGCCCAATCCCAGATGACCACTCGCAGGTCATCGCTGCCCGAAGCCAGGCGTGTGCCCGAGGGGTTGAAGTGCAGCGTGTTGACGCAGCCCGTGTGCCTCTCCAGCCGGCCCTGCAGCTCCAGCCGCTGCACCAGACCCCGGGCTCCACACACACGCCTCACAAACTGGTGTGTGTGTCTGCCGATCTCCCTGGAGCGCAGCGAGGGTATCGACCTCCATATGGGGGCACGCATATCACGGACCTCTGCTCCCAGCCACGCCTCCATAGCCTCGTTATCGTCGTCGTCATCGTCATCATCATCATCTTTCTGTTCTTCTTCTTCGTCGTCATCGTCATCATCATCTGAGCTGGAGGAGTGATTGGTGCCGCCGCCAGGTCTATTCCTCTTTCTGGCTGCTCTTTTCTCGCGATCTTTATCCTTAACTCTCCCCCGTCTGCCTCCCTCGCTCTCTCTGTCACCATCCTCAGTCAGGGAGTAAAGACCGCTTCCATCCATGCTGTCTGTGTCTTCCTCCTCCTCCTCCTCCTCTCCCTCTCTGTTTGCCCTCATCCCTCCTTCCACATCTGGCATAGGCTTGTCCCCTGAAGCCTCTCCTGTTTCTTTGGGATCTACAGAAATAGGAAAAGTCAGAGCCATAGAGGACTAGGTCAAGACATTTCTGTCTCGCTGGGAGATTCAACAAAAGGTGCACAACTGCTACTGGTATCAATGTTACATTTGCATTTAGAAATGAACATACATCAAAGCAAAGTCTCTACCATATGTTACTCTGTTAAATAAATACACTTTTAAGTTGCTGTTAAACAAAACGAATGTGGATACCATCTTGAGATGAAGACTGTGTTTGTCCCTCTTTACTTCCAGAGGCACCTTCCTCCTTGTGTTGCTCTTCTTCTGGATCTTTTTCTTCAGAGCCACCTGGTAAAAAAAACACTCAAATTAAGTACCCTAGGAACAGGTAGTCTATATAAATAGTTAGTCACTTTCTTGCACTGATCCTTTACCTTTCAGCGCAGTAGATTTGACTTCAGGTTCAGCCATTCTGTCTCTTTGTCCTGCGTCGCCCCGAGGGGGAACCTTTGGTCGAAAACAAAATGCAACTTGTTAAGGAAACACATTAACTAGGGCTGTTATTGAGATGATAAACTACTTGTATTCTTTAGTAAGCCAACTCTGTTGCTTGCAGCCGCTAATCTGTTGCCGCACTGTGCGCCGTTGGGCACAAGTAACCTGTTAGCTCTTCCAAACTAACAGCGAGGCTAATTTTAGTACACAGTCCCACTGCCTGCAAACACATAAACAAACTTACTCGCTTGGTACCTGGCTCACAGGCCTGACTTGCTTATTACTGCATTTAAACAGTGCATTGTCCTCTACAGTGCTTGACTATCTGTCATTGTTATTGTCGTGAGCTAATGCTAACTAGCCTGCGTGTGGCTAACACAAATGAAACTAAATACTGCTGAATCCTGCGTAAGCACCAAACAGCTGGTTGTCAGAAGGCAGGCAGTAAGCATTGCTCGTGGTTGCTAACTAGCATAGCATGCGTTACCTCTACTCGAAGGCCCGACGAGGCGTACTTCTCAGTTTAGTCCTAATCTTTATTGCAGATTTATGCTCTCCAACTCACAGCTTAGCAATTGAGCTAAGTGCCGTGACAAGGGATCCTCTGGCCGTAAATACACGACATTAGGAAAGCGTGCATAAAGATTTTTTGCAAAAGACAGACTATAAAGCAAGCTAACTGCAAGGTTGACGGCTCTGTTTATGTTTTGACGGTTCTTTCTTTTTTGTTTTTTTTGTTCCATTTCCGGTGTCGTGCTTGTTTCGGTTTTTTTCGCCGGAAGTTTACAGTACAATTACAAAATAATGCTGTATACATTATACATCCATGATACAGAGGTGGAAGAAGTACTTAGATTATTTTCTTTAGCAAAGGTCGAAATGCTTTGATTTGAAAATATTCCATTTCAAGGGAAAGTCTTTGATTCAAAATGTTGCTCAAGTGGAAATGTACTTAAAATATTAAAAGTAAATGGACCCATTATGCACAATGGCTGTGGTGAAACTACCATATTATTTAGCATTTAAATGTAGCAGTGTTTTATATTAAGACAATTTTAGATTTATTTTCAATATTGCTAGTTCAATACTGCACTATGTCATATACAAATGCCATGTGTTTTAACAGTAGCTGGTAACTATGGCTATTAACATTTTTTAATGAAGTAAAATAAATTCTTCCATAATGTTGTTGAGTAGAAGTATAGAGTAGCATACAATTGAAAAGTTAAGTACACATACATTATAGTACTTAAGTACAGTAGGCTACTTGTCGTACATCTAGTTACTTCACACCAATGTATACATTATAAAAAGTATCAAGTTCAAAGGCTTTATTGTCATATGCACACTGATGCTATATTGTAGATAAAGCAATGGAAATCTTAAGTCAAGCTCCTCCAACAATGCAACATAATATATATATAACATAAAACAATACAACAAATTCAAAAATAAGAATACAAAAAATAAAATAACAAAAATAGTGCAAGAAGAAACAGTAGAATAGAATATGTAAATGTAAATATTGTAGTGAAAACATGTAATACTGTTCATTGTGGTGATTAACATTAAGATAAATAAATTGTCTGACCTCCTCAATGTACAGCGTCTCGTCGCCGTCGGTGATCAGGCCGATGACGGTCGTGCCGTCAGCAAACTTCACAATGGTGTTGGAGCTGTGTGTGGCCATACGGTCATGTGTGAAAAGGGAGTACAGGAGAGGGCTGAGCTCACAACCCTGAGGTGCTCCGGTGTTGAGGATCAGGGTGGAGGACGGCCTGGGGTCTGCCCGTCAGGAAGTTCAGGATCCAATCACAGAGGACGCTGCTGAGCCCGACATCTCTGAGCTAGATGACAAGCTTGGAGGGCACAATGGTGTTAAAAGCTGACCTGTAGTCAATGAACAGCATTGTATAATGGGCATCATAGTGGAATTGATCATGCCAGGTCACACAACAGAGCAGACCCCAAGAGGCTAATGCCCTGAGATGGCATCCAGCTGTCACTCAAAGTAGACGCCACCCTTATAATTTGTAACTTTAAGCCTTAGTAAAAAATACACAGGGGTGTTAATCTATAGACCACCGGAACAGAGTGACTTTTATGATAAATTAGATGGGTGTTTGGCTGAGGTGGGGGATGTAGAGACAATTATTATTGGAGACTGGAACACGGATATGCAACGTAAAGACACGTCCGTCTTCAAGTCCTTCAGTAGGATTTGTGATATGCACGGCTTCAGCCAGCTAATCACCCAACCCACCCGGGTATGTGAAACAACACAGACTACCATTGATCTCATTCTGACCTCTGACAAGTCCAAGATCTCCAGTAAAGGGGATGTTCTAAACACCATACAAACCACTTGTGTTTAAAGTTCATGAACCGGGTGCAGTCAAACAGACACTACTCGGAAATAGATAGAAAATACAATTCAACTTTTAGAGCAAAACTCCAAAAATGACGTCGGTTCGACCAAGTAACTTCATTAAAGGTTTCAAGTGGCTCCCAAAATAAAAATAAAAAGGGGAGTCAAAAACTGTAACTACTTTAAGAAAAACCGTCAAAACTAGTACCTCGAATGTAGTAAAGAATCAGACAAAAGGAAAGTTAAAAATCGGCGGCGACCGGTCCTCAAGTAGAGCACGAAAACCTTTAGTAACTGACTGAAAATAGCTTTGAGTCCTCGGAAAGGAAACAGAGACAAAAGTTACCGCCAGTCATACGGGCCTCACGTAGGTGCCGAGACGCGCTAAAAGAATTGGGACCAACAAGAACCCCGGTTTAGTACACCTCATAATCGTCTCTTAAATAAAAACTTTGGTTCCGGTACAAAGAAGTTGAACGCATGGTGGCTCCGAGTAGACTGGGTCAGGTCCCCAGAGGTCAAGGATCCAATGTCCGGAGCGATCTCATCAAAAACTCCAGAGATCTATACTGACAAAACACTGTCGGCCGGAAAAAAAAAATCGGAAAACGCCTATGTCATTATAGTCATATTACTACGTGAATATTGGNCACTACACCTCTATGGTACCCATGTACATGTCAAAATTCTTCCCAAAGGTCAAGGAATACCATGATCATAACACCAGAGGGAGCTCCACAAATCATGTAAAACCCAGATTTGGCACAAAAAAAGGGGAATACACGTTTCGCAATTATGCCACATCAAGGTGGAACGCTCTTCCCACTACTGTAAAGGAAAGTAAAACTATACTTACCTTCAAAACCTCTCTTAAAGAGCACCTTCGGGGGAGAGCATTGCAAAACTGGTAATGGTACAAATCTCAACCTGTCGTACAATGGACAGCTTCCCCCCCCATCTATGTATATACTCGCATTTTAGACTCTGTTACTAACTGTATATCTGTAGACTTGGTATGTCTTAAATGTCCGGTTAGGATGTATTAGAACGAAATCTAAAATGAAATTTGTAAATAAGCCATCTGTATGTAAAAAACCACCTGTATGTAAATTGTAAATAAGCCATCTGTATGTCAAATATGTCTTGTATGTCTTAAATGATATGATGAATTGGAAATGGGGGACCCTGATGTAAACAAGACGAAAGTCTTTCTCTGGTCTGCATCCCCTTAACAATTGTATGTTTTGAGCTGTACTGTACTGTACCCAATATACAAGCTGTTAATAAACTTTTCAATCAATCAATCAATCAATCAATCAATCAATCAATTGAATGTAGCCCCCCTAAAATTGTCATGAATAGGGAGTTAAGCTACAGGCATCAAAATAGTTTTTCATCCAAGGCTTAAAAATGTTTTATTACTGCTGGAAAGTTGGGCAATTAACATAGGGGTTTTAGGGAGATTGACTTAATTTTGTACTTTGTTGTTTCAAGTAGCCATTTGATGAACTGCATTCATGGCACTTCTGCATAAGCTTCACATGAGGTTGTTGCTTGGTTTTCACCCTCTGTTTAAAACACTGGCACTTGTCTATTACCTGTCTTAAACCCCCATTGCAAAATAGCCCAGCAGTGCTCTGAATATATTGTGAGAAAAACTTGCTGCACGTTTACAGTAGATCTCCAGTAGAGGGTGGAGATATTAAGAAAGGGGCAGTACTGTATATTATAATGTCCCTGCATGGGACATGGGAGCCAAATCTGAATGGCTTGTTGAATCACATGTTTTATGACATCGGCAGCTCAAGAAAAAACGAACTGGAGTGACTTATTGCACAGTGGGTTGGGCACTCAAAATGCCCAAATATGCAAAAGCATCAGAAAAATATGTTTTTTATATGTCCCCTTTAAGTAATCAAGAGGGCAAGTTTTCTTGCTAAACCTACTTACTCTTATATAAGAAGTTGTAGTTTATGAGTCAATATCTGCGGAAACATCTGGCTCCCTCACTTAGGGTGAAACAAGATGGGATCCCTCCGCTTCCTTCCTGTGTTTATGTCGTGGCCTTGATGACAGCGATCTACAGTAAATCCCATGGAAGGAGGATGTCCTTCTCTCCATATTTGTTATCCCTCGATTCTTTACTATATCTGACTTGTAAAAAACACAAAAACAGTTTTCACAGTTTCTCTAAGAACTCAGATTACAGTCACCTGTCAAAACTGTCTATAATCCACATGGAATGTCAACTCATAGTGGGTGACTGAGGGATTACTGCAACACACACAGTTTTTCATAGAATAAATAGATACACTGTTTTTGAAAGAAGAAAAAATACTAAAATATTTAGTAGGTTAAACTCTCACAAATTGACGTTGATCAACATTTATCGAGGAAAATCTCAATTTTGGATTGATATACTTTTTTCATTCATATTATGTATTAGTGGGATTTTGGATTGCTGTTTCAGACAATGCATATTTCTTAAAAAAAATTCAATTTTTTTTAGAATGGGCATTTCAATGGGCATTCGGAATTAATAGAAATAATAGATTTATTAACAGAATGTTTTATATTGAATGAAAAACCAATTTCCATTTAGATTATGTATATGTGAAATTGCTTTAAATGGCTGCCAACAGCTAGAAGAGCTTCCTATATAAAGTGTTAACACTTGATAAGCAAGGGGAAGGCTTACGAACAGTGTACGACCACCTCTGTGGAAACAGTGTCACAGAGGGAGGAAGGGGAAGTTTACACATGCAGAGGGGGTTTCAGACAGCCTCCCAGCTGTGCAGCGTCTAAAAGCTGCAGCTCCCCGCCCCTCCAGAGGACATGAAGGAGTTCAGAGAGACGAGGGGACGCCGCTGAGCGCAGCTACCATGCCGTGCACAGGCTTCAGATAGGGACAAAGTTTACACATTTGGTACTAACCTTCTGTTTTCACCGACAACATGGAGTACTGGAGGCAGTGTGCGATGTGGCTGATCAGCTGCAACGTGCTGCCCGCCAACCACCGGGTGACTGCGGACACCGCGCAGGTGTTCGACCTGGCGCAGACCCTGCGGGACGGGGTGCTGCTGTGCCAGCTGCTCAACAACCTGAAACCTCACACCATCAACCTGAAGGAGATCAATCTCAGGCCGCAGATGTCACAGGTAGACTCTTCAGCTCTGCTTTCAAAGCAACTTTACTCAGGTGGTAACGTGTGCAAACAGAGGAACTGCGTAACTGTTCTGAAGTTAAAATTAGTGTTGCCAGATATTAGTAATAAGATAAGATAAGATGTAGGCCTACTATTGATCCCAATCTGGTCCCAATTCATCACAGCAGCATGGACATTGCACATGAATAATGTGAAATGTAATTTAGGTAACTAACATGCAATAACAAAAATACAAAAAAGATATAGGCTACATATCAGCAGAAGATAAAAAAAATACGCAAAACAGTGAATATCAATAATGAAGGATATAGAACACACAATATACATATACAAATATACAGAATGGAACATTGGCACATTAGGCTTGTCCAACCTATCAAACTCCCAAAATGTAAACATTAAATATATGATATACACTTACAAACACTGCACTACAATGTACGTTCCATTACATTAATGTGATTAAAAGCGTGCCAGAATAGTTAATTTAGTGTTCCACGTCAATGTAAGTTAATTTACTAAATATCACGTGCTCCAGAATCAATTAGCCCTGTTAGTGGGAGAAATCAATTAAATGTCACTTATGCTTATTAACACTGACAGAAATATGTGTTCTGGTTTGCATGAACTTAGAAGGCTAACACAATGATGCTTTTAAAGGAACAATTAGACACATATAGGTCTCTCGACAAACCATTCAAAACCTCACCTCAAAACAACACATTACATATGGTAAAAATGTGCATTATTCCAGGGTTCTTTAGAGTGTATTGTAGGGGTGTGAGAGGAATTATCTTCCTTTAGGATAATACACAAAAGTAGTGAAGATAAGGCAAGCTTATCATATTTTTTAATCCGTAAAACTCCTTACATTCAAGTCCAGAATAAGCACACATAAAGCCACCCTCTCTCCTGTGGTGCTGTGTCACTGTAAGCATTTCATAAAAGAGAGGGGTGTGGCGCGTGTGTTCGGATCAGGGGGTCACAGGTTCAAACCCCACTGCAGTCAGCATGTTGTTGTGTCCCTGGGGAAGACACTTCACCCCAAATTGCTCCTGTGGGGATTCTCCACAGTATTGAGTATGTAAATCGCTATGGATAAAAGTGTCTAACATGTAATGTAATGTAATACAAATAATGTGACAAAATGACCTCTAAATCATTTGGAGATCTAATATGGACAAGGCTTCCTCTGTCTACTTCCCCTAAATATGATTGATTCAAAGCGATTCATTATTTGCCTTTCTCTATGTGTTTTTAAATCTTACTTTAAGCAAATGCAACTCTCTTTTCGCACAGAGATGGTCCCAGGCTTAACCTCTTTTCACCTCTTTACCCCTAATTTTTGCCTCTGTCACTGGAGAGGCCTGATAAAATCCCGGCTTTGATCCACCCATTTGTTCGGGAACTGTACAGCAGCTTTAAGTTGTCTCGCAACTGAGTTTCAAACCATGTTTAGTTTAGGAGATTTCTTACACTTATAAATAGTGAAAGCTTAAAACTACACATTTTCATTCAAAAACAGATCACACATTTAAAATCTCTTTTATATTAAATAAAACAAAAGGAAGAAAGAAATTAAAAGCATATTTGACTTGCTCAGATATATTCGAGATAGCTATAGCTGCAAATAATCTCAATGAAAAAAATCAGCTTGGGTTTTCAAACTACTGTTAGGCTTACTACTACTATATATAGTAATGTGTCACTATAGGAACAAGACTTCCTTTTGCCGGTGATGAGATCTTTATCTTCTTATAAGTATGACACATATGACACATGATTATCAAGTAAGGCTTTGAACACGTACAATTCCAAGTAATCTTAATCTAAGAACTCAAAGAACTCCTAATTTAAAAAGACACAGTATGAAGCTCACACACACAACGTTTTGATATGAGCAGGTGTGATAATTTCTTACTGGTCTCACATGGTTATTTTTCTAAAGGGTGCAACTGTATTCTTATTTGTTTGCTTGAAATGTTGCATCACCACAATCTCTGTACAATTATTTAATCAGTTTTACATTTCTTGCACTGCCATAAATGAATGGAGACATGTAGTCAATATTACATATCTTACCTACAAAAATCTTAGCCTCCATAAAAAATGAAATCCCTCCCAGTAGGGCATCGCATTGTGCTCTGTGGTATAAACTGTTGTGTGTGTGCTCTGTCAGTGCATGTCTACTCGCCTCTTATCTTGTTGATGGACAATAAGAGCAAACCCAGGGCAGAATGTCCTGAACAATGGCTAGCCAGAGCCTGCAGCTGTAGGCCATATGAATATGGTCCAGAAAGGCATGTGTGTCAGATTTGAAATGGTCCTTTCTTTGTGCCCCGCTGACCTAAGATCTTGGAAATGGAAATAAGGGCATCAGAGTAATGTACTGGTTGAGAGTGGAGTGTACTGAAGTGAACATGCGCCCAGAAGTGCTATTTTCCCTTCTATATGTGAGGCCTGTTCAAATACAAAATATGGATTGTGACTGTAATATTCTTATGTGTGGATAAAAGACCCTCAACATAAACTCTGCTTTTGATCTATATTTGTTCATATAGAGAGGATAAGACAAGAGACTTCAGCATCAGAGAAAGTCATGCTGCTAAACATACTAATACATCTGAGCACAAACATGGCAATAACTGATGTCAAATGTTACAATATAAGATCATCCGAAACAGGATTTTGACTAAATACTGCAAAAGCAAACCCTCCTTCAATAATTGTACTGTACCAAGAAAGATGTGCACTTTTACTTTCTAGTTTTTTCATCCTTGAAGCCAAGAATGCAGTGTTTATTTCCAAAGAAGATGAGAGGAGGAAAGTGAGTATGCACCAGGACTGAGGTTGTAATCAGGAGTAAGAGGCTGATGGTGGTGCAAAGCCATCATGTTCATGCACTTCCTCCGCAGACTAACAGGGCCCCGGGGGGGGGGGGGGGTGGAGTGATTACAGGCGTCTCCACGATGAGCTCAAATGATAAAAAGGGGCCTATCTATCCGCAAGAATCCGCTCTGTATTTGCTGCACATTATAACATACACAATTTCTAGTTTAGTAATATCACTAATGTGCACACGGCTAACTATGCTGGTACACATGTTTATAGCTTGTTTATTGTTGATGAATGCTTAAGGTGTTGTTTTTTTGACAATGCTATTTGACCTCTTGAACCACTCGCCATTGTCTTTTTGAATGTTTTTTGGTTTTCTGCCCACCGAGAAACAGATCCTTAATAGGAAGTGACACCAAAAGATCACATGCTTAGTGGTTTCTTTCCCAAATGACATTTTTCGTTTTCATTTTCAGTTTGCTTTGTTTTATGTGCGGTTCACCTTCACTTTTTTTAAGTGGACTTCTTGTTGCATTATGGTGTTACTTTAACTTTATCAAGGTGAAATCAAATAAAGGGTAAATTCTTCAAACAAACAAAAAAGAAAGTTAAACAGTCGTCACTAAGCATGCAAAGGGGGCACATAAGTGCGTGCCTATTCTTGACGTTTAAAGCATTACATTTGATTTTTAAAACATTGAACAGCCACAACCTTTCTTTCCATAAACACTAAAGTTGTTACTCTGAAGAATCTGTAGACTACGTTGTTTAGTCCATAGAATATATACAATTCAGTTGATCTAAAGTACTTTCACCTTATAAATGTATTTGTAAAATATAAATATGAAACTATTTCAATAAAATAAATGTGGAATTTGTGATGTATTATTTATAATGTTCCATTGTTGTGTGAGACATCTGACACACTGACCTCTCTAAACCTGGGCAGTCATTTATATGAAAGAATGTGTGCTTTGTGGAGACCAGGAATATTACACAATTGATATCTAAAACGATTTGTATTCTATTTGCAGTTCCTGTGCTTGAAGAACATCCGCACCTTCCTGACGTCTTGCTACGAGGTGTTTGGGATGAGGAAGACTTACTTGTTTGAAGCCTTTGATCTCTTCGATGTTCAAGACTTTGGAAAGGTAAAACCCTCATCCATTATTCTGTCACAACTCGAGGAAACAGTCCTCTGTCTTCACAACTGATGGTATTCTCCAACGATGCACATATTTCTTCTATTCTTTTTCTGCTCTGCTTTCCTCTATCGGCTGCCTTCTTCTCTGGTTGCCATGATTTATGTACGTCTTTACAGGAAATCGCACGTTTAAAAGCTGTTTTACAAGAAAATACGTTGAATTTATATGACTTCTATTACAGCTATTATGCTGGCTGTCTAATTGATAGTATGTTTTACATTTTCTCCATTGTTCAGTTGTTAGAAACCACACGTGGAAATTGGTGACACATACATCATAACTGTGATGAAGTTTGCCGAACAGGGATCATATTTGTCATCAAAACTATTCCTACTTAACAAAATGAAACATATTTTATCCTTTGTTTGACATCTATTAGAACGGAGGGATTTGACTGGCTGTCTAATCGATTGTGTTTGCCATTGTTCAGATGACAAAAACATCAACAATGAGTTATAGTTTGCACAACAGCAATTGTAATGTCTTCTTACGAAACAAAACATAATGGTGTCTTGTGAAGAAATGTGAGAAAAACACCTCAAAGACAGCAAAATACTTTTCTTTACCATAGTTCATAAAATCCTGGGTTTGCAGCTGTAATTACTCAGAAAAACCACAACAAAAAACAACTAAAAAAAAGTTTTTACACAAGAGAAAGGAATTGTTGAAACTAGAATGTATTCAAAATGTCGTTGAAATGTCATCACTTAAAACCTGAAGATTATAAAAATGCTTATGAATCTGACTGCTTGAATATCCAGTCGCATATTTAGATTACTTTGAAGGTTGAGGGAAGTCTAATAGTATAAGACCCTTGTGATATCGAGCCAGAGGTTTTCCTCTGAAGAAAGCATTGCATGTGTGTAAGTGAGTTTCAATTCGTGCCCTCTCATTGCCTGGTGTTGCTTTTTCTGCGGCATTTCTTTACGGGATTGGTTGACTTCTTTTTATTGCTGCATTTTTGTGGCAGCTGGTTTTAGTCCGAGTACACAGAGTTACCAGGCCAGTGGGTTTGTAGTGCGCTCCTCCTCGCTCTCAGCACAGGAGAAGGATTTAACTGAAGAAAGCACGCTCACTTTGGAACAGCCTTTTCCCACAATACCCTGCTTCCATGCATTCAGTGCATTAGCTTGGAGCACCCTGAGTGGTCTCAGCATCTGCGTTATCCATGGGGAAATATAATAAGATTTCCTTCTGAATATATTTCCCTTCTTTTAATCTGTACTGAATATACTTATTGTATTATTTAATAGGTCTAAAATACAGAACATTAAGGCAGTTAAAGTGTGAAAACCGTGTCAATGGGGCTTCATTTGGGAAAACTCATATCCTTTATGTAAATAATATCATATTTTCTTCCTGTAATTTAATTATTTTGTCCGAACATCTTTTAAAAAATAATTTATATAGTATCGCAGGTCGTTTTAGAACTCCCTTCTGATAATTTGTGAGCAAATTTCAATTAAACGAAAAGTTCCTGCAGGCAAAAGCTATATCAAAAGTATTTAAATCAGGTGTATTATACATGATTAATGTTTTTCATTCACTTCCTTGCAGAGAATAGCAACTGGTCTTTGGTTCTCTCTGTAAGTGTGAGGGATTGCGTGCAGTTTCCCACACAGACTCTCCTTTCCCTCAGTCCAGTGTGTTGCGCTCTAAAGAAGCTTGCAGTTAATCTGGCTGCTGATAATCCCGTAGGGGAGGTGCTGCCTGTAAATATGTACAGTACATACAAACTGGGCTGCATAATCTCAGTCATGTCCAAGAGTTGTCCATCAGACAGACAAGCTTCACCAGTGGGAAGATTGTGCCGGATCTTTACTTGTTTTTTCATCATTAGTTAGGAATACGGGTGACTGCAGGTTCAGCGATTGGGTTGAATCGGCTCCAGGGAGGGTTGTTAAGCCAAACAAGAAATGCTCTTTCCTATTTTCCAGAAAACATTCAAAAGAGAACATCTCAAATCTCAGCCAGTCTAATCCACTCGGGTTGACTTGTGCCAACTCTGCCCGTAGACTAAGCATTAGTCCACTGGATATCTAATGAGAGCTCTCTAACCTACATCCCTCTGCAGAGTCTCTACAGGCTGCACCCGCCGGCCAACATGTGTTTACTTCTTCGCTCAACATCAAATGTGTCAACTTTGACTGTAGAAACCCGATGTTTGCTTACTGCAAATGCAATGTAATGTAAAATGAAAAGTGAATGGACATTTAAAAAAAAAAAAAGTCTTCCCATAAAAAAAGAAATTAAATGTTTTTAGCAAATTGTTCTCTCCTTGTTAAATTATTATTATAGAAAGTATAAAGCTACTGGCTAAGGGGTGATTGACTTAGCATTAACAAACGGGAGAGAAGGCTAGCTTGGCTTGGTCTGAAAGAAACAAAGTCCACCTTTCCTCTGAAACCAACAAATTATTTTTTTAGTACAAATAAAACAAGCAAGATACCTTTAGTTTGTGTGACGTTCTTAAAATTAGACACTATTAGATGTTTCTCACATTACCGTTCATTTAGCTGACATTTTTATCCAAGGCATCTTACAAGGACAACACAATAATCTGATATATTCCCTTCAAATAGGCCAAACCATAGTAAGTGCTTTTGATTTAGTTTCAAATGGGCTACAATTGATTATTTTTGGTGTGTTGGGTTTAATGGCCGAGGCACAAAACAACGTAGGTTTTCAGTCTGCGACGGAAGATGTGTGGACTTTAATGTGTGTTCATATATGTAAATACTACAGCTTGAATAATTAATATGACAAAATAACTGTGAGACAAACATGCACATGTGATTTTGCCATTGCTTTCTTATATTTTATGTTGCTCTGAGAATTAAAGCTACACTTTATGAACAGGCCACACTCACCACGACGGTTTGAATTCAGCTCAGCTTGTGGCTTTCTTTCTCATGTATCTCTTGTGGCTTTATCTACCTTCAGACATGTCAGTTGTGAGAACAACTTGGTTCAAAGCTGTGTAGAGTGATTTACAATTCATTACAAAAAGTCAATTCGATTTTTGTTTATGTTTCAGTGTGTTTCTCTCTTAATGACTTCAATATTCAGCTTTTTCTTGGAAAGTTATCTAATTAGCACTACATTTCTTTAAAAAGCTTTACAAAATAGTAAGTCCTGTTCAGCATCATGAGGGTGTGACATTGAAAGTAACAAAAGTCTTTCTTTTGCAAAAATAGTAAAAAGTAATTTGTTCTCTCAATACATAATGCTGTTAAAGCAAAGGCGAATAGGGATTCTAATGCTGATCATTTTCTTGTAGAATCAACTGACTGAAAGAAATCTCTCACTATCTAGTTGTGGATAAGTTATACAAATCTAAATAATAATGAACACCCTATTTGAATAAGTGAAACAATCCAACCAGACAGAAACATATTTGCTTTGTAGAAAGAAGAAACGTTTTACTGCTGTAAAGAACTTGTGAAGATGCAGAGGTCTCTTGTGGTTTGGCAGCTTGCCTCATACACTACAGACACGACCCTTCGAATTCATCAGCACACCTGGGCTTAGCCAAAACCACAAAACGTACACTTCACACAGGAAGAGGAGAAACACTGCAGATAGACTGGCGGGCAAAACCAACATCATCAACTATGCCTTACCATGCATGCACTTCAAAGAGTGTCATTTGCAGCATTATCTCAATCAAAGTTTATTTATATAGCCCAATATCACAAATGTTACATTTTTCTCAGTGGACTTCACAGTTTGTACAGAATATCAGTATGGCAATACAACTCCCTCTGTCCTTAGACCCTCACATCGTACAAGGAAACACTTCCAGAGAAAACCCACAGTTTAAAGGGGAACATGGGAGAAACCTCAGGGAGAGCAACAGAGGAGGGATCCCTCTCCCAGGACGGACAGACGTGCAATAGATGCCGTGTGTAAAGCGAAAAGATAATACATTTTACAGCANCGTGTTTTTGCTGATGGGAACTTGGGTCCCCCTCGTAACGAGGGTGCAGCGAGTCGTTTGGCTGATGCAGAGCGGAGTGCATGTGCTGGGGTGTACAGTTTAACCATGTCCTGGATGTAGGAAGGGCCAGATCCATTCACAGCATGGTACGCAAGTACCAGTGTCTTGAAGTGGATTCTAGCAGTTACTGGAAGCCAGTGAAGGGAGCGGAGGAGCGGCGTGGTGTGGGATAATTTAGGAAGGTTGAAGACCAGACGAGCAGCTGCATTCTGGATGAGCTGCAGAGGTTGGATGGCACATGCAGGTAGACCAGCCAGGAGGGAGTTGCAGTAGTCTAGGCGTGAGATGACGAGAGCCTGGACCAGAACCTGAGTTGCTTTCTGGGTCAGGAGGGGACGTATCCTCCTGATGTTGTAAAGCGTGTATCTGCAGCAGCGGGTTGTAGCAGCGATGTTTGCAGTTAAGGACAGTTTCTTATCTAGGATCACACCCAGATTCCTTGCAGTCTGAGTCGGGGAAACAACAGTTGTGCCGATGTTGATTGTTAGGTCAAGAGTGGGACAATCTTTTCCCGGAAGGAAAAGCAGTTCAGTCTTGTCAAGGTTGAGTGTGAGGTGATGAGCAGACATCCACTGAGAGATGTCAGCTAGACAAGCAGAGATGCGTGCGACGACCTGGGTCTCTGAGCGGGGAAAGGACAGAATTAATTGGGTATCGTCAGCGTAGCAGTGGTATGAAAAACCATGAGTGCTAATGACTGATCCAGTGTTGTAGTCAAGTCACCAATTCATGAGTCCAAGTCACTCTCGAGTCACCACTCTTCGAGTCCGAGTCCAAGTCCGAGTCACCAAGGGAGAGTCGTAGTCGAGTCCGAGTCCAAGTCGGAGTCACCCAAGGATTGTCCGAGTCGAGTCCGAGTCATCATTACCTGTGTTCGAGTCTGAGTCCAAGTCCGAGTCACCCAAGGAGTGTCCGAGTCGAGTCCGAGTCATCATTACCTATGTTTGAGTCCGAGTCCAAGTCCGAGTCACCCAAGAAGAGTCCAAGTCAAGTCTGAGTCACAAGTCTTCATATATTAATCTTCGTGGATATATGTGTTGAAATGTAGCTGCTCCTTTACATGTGTTGCAGCGATAGACACACACTTTGGGAAAGGGGTACCAATACTTTAATGTAATGACCATACAAGTAAAAGTACTGAATTCAACATGTTGTATGAGTACACAAGTATTATGTTGTATAATTATTATTAATTAATATTATAAAAAGACATGTAAGCAGAATTCTAATATTGTAGCAAGTTACATAGTCACCTAACTGTTAGGTAGATTAATCTAAAACAATATTTATAATGACCATGTCAGACTAATTTCCCTCTTAACCTTCGTCAAGAATTCACAGTTTGGTTAAGTATGAAGGACCATATCACTGAAAATAATTGAACTATCTTCACCATCAACAGAACCAAACTAGGACAATACTACTTACATATACTACAAATACAAAGCATAAGACCCTCCATCTATCCATCGTCCTCCATCTATTTATTTGTAGTATTCTGAGTGCATATTCTGCATAAACTAGCTCACATTAGTGTACGAGATATAACCAAATGTAAAGATAGTAATGTTTAAGCATCACTTTCTAAGGTGTGCGTCTTTCCAGAAGCAGGCGGAGGTGGATGTCCGGAGCTGCTGCCTCTCAGAGATCAAACAGACGGAGGAGAAATACACCGAGACCCTGGAGTCCATCGAGAAGGTACACAAACATCCAGCTGGTCTATAGTGCAATGAGATCATAAACAATATGCTTTTCTTTGTGTAAAATCACAAATTGGGTGTAGATGTATTGAAATGTGATCAATGGACAAAGTAGAGAAATGTCACCATCAACCTTCTTTAAGTCTGTGGACAAATAATATATCTAGGCTTTTTTTTATTTTTAAATGTCATTTAAAAGGTGAGTTTCAAGAACATTTGCCCTTTATGTGACGTCCAATGTGATGTATTTTATTAGTTCCAGTATTTGTGACCCGTAGCTGTTGTTATTATTTAAAATGACCTTTAATATTGGTTATTGACTCCAGTTAAGTAATGACTAAGTGAAATAATCTGAGAGGAGGAAATGGAGGTTTCACTCAGGATATAAATAATTTCTTTCCGCAGTATTTCCTGAATCCTCTGAGGACATTCTTCTCTGCGGCTGAAATTGACAAAGTGTTTGTCAACATAACGGTAAATGCCACAAGTTTCCCTTCTTGTCAAATGACGTGGAAATATTATTTTAATTTCCAGATAAACAGGATGTCTTCTTTCTCAGGACCTGGTTAAAGTTCACAAGAGCCTGATGGTCGACGTGCAGGACTCCATCTTAAACAAAAATGCTTTAAACCTCTACCAGATATTCATTAGCTACAAAGAAAGGTATTTATAATTAACATCCAATCAAATGTATTGTTGTGTTGCGAGGACCGTATTTGAGTTATAACTGCAGTGGCACCTCACATCATTTCCTTTTTTTTTGTTGAGTTACATTTAATTGGCTTTATATTTAAAGAGGGTTCATTTTAGGTTCAGTTGATCACTGTTATTTCACTTGCAATGGACTTTTAATAGAGAAACATTGCCAAACACACTTCCTTTAAATCAGACCTTTTGAATTGAATGCAGGATGTTTGCAAATATTTACATTTTAATTATGTATCAAGCATCTACGTGTTGAGTTCAGATTTCACGCAGTGTTCTATTTAGGGACACAACAGGTGCAAGTTCGCATGTAAGAGGAAGGATTACTTTCTTATACACTGACGTAATGTTAACGTTATACCATCTTTGTCACAAGCAACATGAACGCAACATATTCATGTTACACTTATCTAATCTTTAGTTAGCACTGTATCACTAACTGGCCTCTGCACACACTCACAGTCCATTTCCCTTTCTAATCCCCCTTCATCCTGTGTTTGCTCTGAATAGACTGCTCATTTATGGGATATACTGCAGTCGGGTGGAGATTGCCATTGCTGTTTTAGACATCATTAGCAAAGAGAAAGAGGAGGTTCGCTTGAAGCTGGAGGTGAGATTAATAAAATATATCAAAATCAAACAAAAAAAAAAAATTAAAAAATATGTAGTGGGCGGTGGTGGCGAAGTCGATAGGGACTTGGCATGGCAACTGGAAGGTCACCAATTCAAGTCCCGGCAAGACCAAGTGCTACCGAGGTGTCCCTGAGCAAGGCACCGTTCCCACACTGCTCCCCGGGCGCCGTTCAAAATGGCAGCACACTGCTCCTAACACTAGGATGGGTCAAATGCAGAGAAACAATTTCCCCACGGGGATTAATAAAGTATATCAAAATCAAAATAAAAAAATAAAAAAATACCTGAATCACACACACACACACACACACACACACACACACACACACACACACACACACACACACACACACACACACACAAACATCTCTCACAGATACAGTTTTTCCAGCGACCCCTAGTGTTCATCTTGTACACTACACATACATTTACTTTATTGCTTGTTGTCTCAGCTTTAAAACATTTGAAAAGCTATATAATACTAGTAACCATCAATTACAATTGCTGACTTTATGTGATATATTTGAAATAAAATTAAATATAGGATACTTCGTGATATATGTGTAAAATATATGTTTTATGTAATTTCTTTGAAAACTCTGAACTTGTAGCATGCCCTTTTAAACCAAATAGGATACACAGATATTTCATACCAGATTTTACAATTTGGTTTGTGACGAGTCAAAGCCCTTAAGTAAACAGCAACAGATACATGTAAGCTATGGTTAACACGCAGTTGTGTCTCTTGGTTGATCAGTCCGTGTGAAAAGTCTCAACAACACCAACGCCTTCTGTATAATGATGAATGTAGCTTGTGCTGTTACAAATAAGTGTTTTGTATTTGTTGCAGGAGTGCTCGAAGAGGGCCAACAATGGGAAGTTTACACTGAGAGATCTGCTGGTGGTCCCGATGCAGAGAGTCCTCAAGTACCATCTACTACTTCAGGTAGGGAGTTGTTACTTCTGATCTGCTGTCCTGATGTCAATGGGGAGCTCATTCCACCATTTTGGGGCCAGGATAGCAAACCCACATGTTCGTGCGGGTGCGGCGGACCGTTTTTTAAAATTCTAGAGATCAGCCTTTATGGAAAAGTGTGCTTATCACTCCCGGTCTCTCTCCTGTCCCCTGACTTAGATTTGTTTGGTCATCTTTGAATGGATTTGCTGAATCTTGAGTGGAAGTAAAATGACAAAGTACAAAATTAAGGTGTATAAGGTTTTTGATTTAAAAACTCCATTGTAACCTTTGAGGCGTACAGCTTTAACCCAAGCCACCTACATAGAAGTTATTTTGACGTGAAAAACATCAACATTACCCAGGTTTTACTTGGTAAAGTGATATTTCCTTCTCTGAGGATATCAAACACTGCCAATTTTATTGTTTTACTTTATTAATTACATTATAACAAGGGGGGTTTTGTCAATTTCAGTTGATTCAAATTGTGGGCCTATTAAGTGCTTCTTTCAGTAGAAAAGTGACCACTTGAGGGCGACATTCTCCACAATTTAGCTTCTCATGTTCCTCCCTGCACAGAATCTCAGATTAAAAAAAACCCTATCTATTTTGACAATTAATTTAAGTGTTGCATTTACTCTTTGTATTTCACATCCCTTAAACATTGGTGCAGTTAATGAATAAAGAATCATCATTTCCACCTGAACTCAATATATTTCAGTCAACAGATTCTCCTTTTTAGGGGAAGATCATTTATAGGAGAGTCTTTCACCTGAGTGTAAAATGGATATATACGCATGGAACTATAATTATATTCTACATGGTTATATCTATGTGTTGCAGTGTGGTTACACTCTTGCTTCCTGTAGACACGTAGCCTTTCAAAAAAAAAACAATTTCACTGATAACTGTGTGACACCCTCTCCCCTGGTTAGTATGATGATCAGAGGTCAGACTGCAGCTGGCAGGAGAGATGAGGACAATAACTAGAGAGCTGTTTTAAATGGTTTTAGAGGGTAAAGGCCACCGTGGTAAATAGTGGTGATCCTGAGTGTTCAGGCCCCCTGAGGAGAGACTTTGGGAAGTGGGTAAAAAATACAGAAATAGAAGAGGAAGTGGTGAAATGAATGGAAAAGTAGACACAGCTCAGCAAGGCAACATAACTGTAGCATTGCGAAGGAATACTTAATATTATACGATTTTTAATAAAGGGCCAAGATACCTAAAGATTGCACACACCTTTTATATTCGATATTATATATATATATAATGTACATGTTGGTGTAATTTGATTATTATTCTCCTGAGATTTCATGGTGACATGTTTGAAGGTAATGGCAGAATAATGTTGTCATTATGTGGTTATTATGCAAATATAATAATGTATATATATATTATATTCCTGCCTGGCAATAAAATGGCATTTGACAGTCTTTTTATAAAGCTGTGGAGCTTCAAGAAGTCATATATATATTTAGTTTATTACCTGAAGAAAAACAGGTCCTAATTATGTGTCCTCAATTTCCTGATTATTTGACATTAATAATTTGACTTCTACAGCACGTGCCAATCTCTGCCTCACATTCATTTTCTGCATGTAAATAAGATTAATTAAATGTACAAGAACTGACCTGCCTTCTGAGAACAAATGGTGATTTTATGCAGTTTACCTACCAACACAAGTGTTTTACAATGAAATTATGAACGATTCAATTATTTTAATGTTATTGCTGGTTGAGGTAAAGACAATTCTATCTACTGATCACATGTTTTGCAAGTGCAATCTCAAAATTCAAAGTGATTACTGAATATACTGTAGCTGTCAAATAATGTCGTGAAGCAAAAAGTAAACTGTTTCCCTCCCCCATTTGATGCCATTAATTGGATCCAATTTGTCAATCTTCAGCTAAAAACTCCCCATTTGCCATCAAAAAGGATACATTTAAGGAAATTGTCTTCCAATTCTAGAGCAACACACCAGTTTCTTTGCTAAGAAGATGACATGTTGACATTTAAACAACCTGTGCTGAATGTGTGTGTGTGAATGTGTGAGTTTGGTGTGTGAACAGTACCCATCCTTTCCTTTCTGTCTTGCTCTAACAGGAGCTAGTCAAACACACTCACGACGCTGCTGACAAGAGCAACTTGAAGATTGCACTTGATGCCATGAAAGTAAGTGCAGTGCTCAATATTAATGGTCCCTCATCTTTGTATTTCAAGCTTTTTACCAAGAGCAGGCTGATTCAGACTGTCTCGAAAATCACACGTTTCTCCGCTGCAAATGGCTGTGATTTGAAAAAGCAAAAATATAAAACGTTTTTGATCCTGTGGGGACCCAGAGCCTGACAGGCAGTTGGTTTAAGGACAAAACAAACAGGAAATGCATAGCTTTAGAAAACATGAAGGCTTGGATCATACAAATGATATTTACATGGAATCTTAACTCAGATCACAGAAGCAAGAAAATACCCGACACAACGTTTTTCATTTCCCCCAGACTATTATTAACTATAGAAAATGTGTGTGTGTGTTTGTGTGTATTTGTGTCTCTCAGGACCTGGCTCAGTTTGTCAACGAGGTGAAGAGAGACAATGAGACTATAAGAGAGATCGACCAGTACCAGCGGTCTATTGAAAACCTGGTAAATCAAATCGATTTCTATATCCATTAGCAGCAGTCTGTGTACTCTTATAAAAGTGAGAAACATCAGAAGGTCACAGACACCTTTCTGAGTCAAGTTTCCAAACATGGTCTTTCAATAGCACACCCTGAAATAATTCATCAGTATTACAAGATAGAACTGCTCTTACTCAAGACTAAAAGGGTTAATGCTGGTAAAAATGTAAAAATACTTTACTTGCTTTCCCTGGATTCATCTAATCTTTGTTAATGTCGGCCACTGTATTTATATATGTCGATTTTTTTTATTATTCTTTCCATTTTCATCACTTTCCATTTGAACATAAGGTCCCTAATTATTCACATTGAATTCATTTAAATTAACAATTTTCATAATGTTTAAATATTTCAATCAAAAAAAAGGAGAAAGAATGCTTAATATTTCCTGTCTCCAACTTTTCACATGAGGATTTGTTTATTTTGTTTATCCTGATAAAAAAAACCATATATTTATGTCAGTATATTTATGTTGACATTTTAATTCGTCACCTTAGGCACTGGGGAATTGCATTTTCTGACATTTTCTGAAAACAATTGTGCACACAGCCTTAAACCAGTTAAAGGTATGAGTTATTAGTTATTATTGTTCAAATTAAACAGCTTTTACATTTCAATAAGGGACATATGATACAGTAAAGCCCCTCAGGGATATCACCTTTATGTAAGGTGTAATATATGGAATACAGAAGGGAAAATATGCTATCACAAACAGGGGTAGTAAGAAAGTGGAAAAGGACGATATATGGTGGTGAAGAAAGAATTCAGTTGATAGAAAGAGTAGAAAGTTGTACAAAAGTGTAACCAGCAGCATCACTCAGTTGTCAGGTTAAGTTCACCATCCTGTCTTGATTGAACAAAAATGGTGGAATGAGTGAATGTCATGGCAGAATGTATCAAGAGTCTGCTCGGACTGATCTGCTGATTGTGACATACCTTACATGATGTTTCACTGGGAATACAATATAGATACATTTGGATTATCGAAAAGAGACAATGATGTGGTATTAGTGGTGGATATCTCGGTTATTTAAAAAGTAACTGAGATACGCTGATTATGCAAAAGATGGTTAATGCTGGAAATGTTTCCCTAGTGACACATTTGAACTTTTACTACAATGTTTTTGCCTATGATTGGTTACTTTCATATGCTTTCATTTGGAATACCTTTGTCCTGTATTATCTATGCATATTTTATATATTTTTCTTTCTTTTTAGAATCAGCCTCTAATCAACTTTGGTCGCCCGAAAGGTGACGGAGAAGTGCGCATGGTCTCCAGTGTGGACAAGAGGAAACAGGACAGGTTGTTCTGTTTCACCTTCTTCATCCTGAAAAAGAAATTAGGACACACATTCAACACACAAGAAATGTCTGATGAAGATATTTAACATTCTGTCTTATTTACAGACACATCTTCCTATTTGATGTGGCCGTCATTGTTTGCAAGAGAAGAGGAGACAACTATGAGATGAAGGAAATCCTCGACCTCAACTATTTTAAGATCACAAACAACCCCACCACGGACAAAGAGAGTAAAAAGGTCAGTTGACCGTGAAAACACAATATACCTCTATACATGCACATGTACACATAATGCGCTTGTATATGAGTATTTGTGCACTTCATATTGCGTTGAATATTGGATGAATTTCTTTAATATTGTCCCTCTTGTTTTGATTATATTAAATATCAGTAAACCACTCCATGGAAATGTTTCAGTTCAACCTCTGTTCGCCTCTAGATTTGATAACTTAAACTAGACGGGCACTTGGAGAAAGCAGACCTCCACCAAGCCCGTTTCCATGAGTGAAAAAATTATTTGTTTATCCACCCTGTGACTCTCCAAAACGTGAGGGTTTCTCCTACATCAGGGGTGTCCAAACTTTTTTCAATGAGGGCCACATAAAGAAAAGATATTCGAAGGGCTGGGCCACTCACTAGAGGTGAGGTTTATTGCCTCACAAGTGAAGTTATAAGTTAGCAACATCTAAGTAAATTATTCTTGATACAACAGCCTACATCACAGCTTTCCATAGGGTTTCATTTATTGTGTTAGCAGCTCATTCCTTACAACAGAAGCCTTAGATTGTTTATCATAGGAATATAATAGGAAGGGTATATTTCCAGGATGTTATGTAAATAAGTTAGTTGGCGTTTTTCTTATCAACTTAGATTTACTTGACTGAAAGTGGGTTTATTAACACATGAATACTACTATGTGATATATGTTTACAGATGTATTTAAGAAGTACAATACAAGACAAGCTCAATTTTCATTTGGGGGCTGCATCCCATTATACTTTTTGAATTTGCTGAGGGCCGATTCAAAAAGTTTGGACATCTCTGTTTTGCATGAAAACATGGTTGGTAATTTTTCTGTAATCCAGCTTTAAAAAACTGAACCAAAACCATAACATGAGAGATGTTGGATGCCATGTAAGAGTTCTTCTCTCCCTCGCTGGTGTGGGGTCGGTGACCAAACACAGTTTGTACAGAGTATGCTATTTTCCGCCCTGTGGGAACGTTATCGCAGGGAAGGGGACTTGTTGATGTCTTGTTGATGTATGCCCACAGATGGTGTCTTCTCACTCATTAGCTGATTGCTAATGTGAAACTGACAGCTTGCCAGAGTGGAATGATTCTGTTTGTTTTTTTAAACCAAATTGACTCCATTATCATCCTCATTTACTGCATTGTGGAATGATAGTGTGATTGGGTGTTGTATGTTTGTCTGGGACATGTGTCTGGCAGTGATTGGTGTTTAACAACTATGGTCATGGTCCTGATGTGTTTATGTGTGTGGTTAGCATTATACCGGGTTTTAGAAGCAAATAACCTTGTTCTAATAACATATAATAACACAGTGCAATTTGCTCGTCTTCATTTTTATCCTGTTCAATTTCCAATATTTTGCCAGACAGGTCTAAGACTTAATTGGTAACGAGACACAGAAACACAAAGAAGAGACAAATATCCACAGACATACAGATACTGTGTACCTACATCCACCTCAACACACACACACACACACACACACACACACACACACACACACACACCGCAGGACAGAGATGCTAATATCGGGTGATGAATGTGTGCAGACCTCCAAGGCTGCTTATAGCTCTATATCATTTTCTACTAAATGAAACTTCAGAGTGTGATTGTGGCGCCGCTGAGCACACACACAGTCATCAATGATTTAACACTCAGCTGAGCCCTTAACTCTCAGGACTTTGCAAGGCTGGCCAATCACTGCCCGGTAAACCTGGACCACTTTTCCTCTTATTAGGTATGACACAAACAAGCTGCAACAGATTAGGGTGGCCAAAACTAAGAGGCTTGGGAATTGATTGAAATGTTTTCCCAAATATGGCCACGGTTAAGGCGTTTAACGCGGTGAGTGTTCTACTCGTAGTATTTATTTGGTGGTCCAAGCTGGGAATGGATGGCTAAAGAGAAAACAAGCAATCAATAGTTATGTTTTACTCCCTGAATTATTTTAGGAGAGGACTTTTGCAACTGTGGTTTAAAAGTTTTGATGGTGTTTCTAAATCTAAGTTGTGTTTGGAAAGGAAAGATCGAACAGCGTCTTTGGTTCCTTGGAGGCAGATTAGGAGACTCTGCCTTTCTGTCATCACAGCTTAAGTCCTCTTTGGGCAAGCTTTGGTTAAACTGCTCTTGCTGCTGCTCTCTTGACAATGACAAAATATAACAGCATCCTTGGTTGATCTTTGAGCCCAGTGGCACCAAGTTATTGAAGACAGCATTAATGGTAGTACGTCAGCCCATTAAATCAACCCTCGATTACACTTGTGTTTCCAGGTTATTTTCTTCATTTTTTAAAACATATTTACCATTTTTTAACAGCCACACAAGTTGAATGTGTCTCTTTACTGTATGCTTCTTAGGTATTGGAAACAGCGCAAGTATTTATGTAACCGCCAGTCTCAGAGTATCACGCCCTGTATACCTACAAACACATCCTATCTATTCATGGGTTTCTGAGATTTATCAAACACAAATAAAAACCATGCAAACTCTTAAAGGAGAAACACCCATTTTTAACTCAAATTGTAGTTTTGAGCCAGTCATCATTTAAAGTGTACACTCTTTTAGATAATCATTACAGATAACCATTACATTTCCTTTCTATGCACATCCATTTGCAAATGTACGTATGCCTTCATGAGAACATGCCTGTTTTCCTTCTGTCCTCCCCAGTGGTGCTACGGGTTCTACGTGACTCACCAGCAGGGGCACACAGGCTTTGAACTCTTCTTCAAGACCAGAGAACTAAAGAAGAAGTGGCTGGATCAGTTTGAAATGGCCATGTAAGTACAGGGAGACGTGAATACCAGTCAGGACACAACACAGTAGACCATTGTATGTATGTCACTGGAAAAAAAGCTGTGTGTGTGTGTGTGTGTGTGTGTGTGTGTGTGTGTGTGTGTGTGTGTGTGTGTGTGTGTGTGTACTGTTTATTTGTCATTCGCATGCATGGTATTCCAAGGCCGAGAGAGAGGTGTTGACTCTCATGTGCAGTGTTTGATCAGGTCTTTGCTGTAATCAAACACACACTGCTGACAGCATGATAACACACACACACACACACACACACACACACACACACACACACACACACACACACACACACACACACACACACACACACACACACACACACACACACACACACACACATAAACTCTGCCAAAGAGCTGCAAAACTACAAAGAAGTCCCTCCGACTCGATGCTTCTTCAAATCAGCGATTTATGGAGGTATATCTTTTGTATTATTTTGTAACAGTGGGAGGATTTCTCGGGCAGAATCCTGTCTGCATCCTTTGTAATGTTGATTCAGGAGTGTACAGTGTTGTTTTGACATCCCAATCTGATTGACTGAACAAATGCTTTTGTGTTTTTGTCGGATATGTATGAATACAATATTTCTGAAATGCATGCTGACTATCTGCTATGGCCTTGCAGAATACCATTTTGGATTACACTTGATCTGTGCACAGCGGCAAAACAATGCAGCGTGTAGGGAGGTAGATTAATCAATGTGCAATTTAAAGGTATTGTTATGAAGCCTTTTACTTCAAAACAATGAAGAGACTCATACAAAGATTATCCCTCTCAATTACCATTTATCACCCACTAAAATGTGCTAATTACTTTACTTCAAAGTATTTATTTCTCTTACTTGAACTTGCAGTACAAATGCATTAACCTATACAACCACTTGGCCCTTAACGCCTGCTCAAAATATTGGAAAAAAAACATGTAATTATTAAAATTAGTTAAGAACAAATAACTATTTTCCACCCCCTAAAACAGTTTTCTGCAGATACAGGGTTTGTGTCAGAAAACTGAACTGTGTGTGTGTGTGTGTGTGTGTGTGTGTGTGTGTGTGTGTGTGTGTGTGTGTGTGTGTGTGTGTGTGTGTGTGTGTGTGTGTGTGTGTGTGTGTGTGTGCGTATATATTGGGTAAGGACCCTAGTAGGGGTCTTTTCAGAAAGGGAACATTGTACCTGTATGGGCTGCTGATGAAGGAGCCACTTATAGGAGCACTCAGTTTAAGTGGCTTCTGGATGGTGTATTCAACCAAAAAGAGGTTTTGGTTTTTTTCAGTCATGTTTGTTCATGTTCCATGAAAGGGTGCTTATTTGCGAATGCATGTTTCCCCTCTCACTTCTGAACACATGCAGCTCAAAATTTGATTTGTCCGGGCCAATTCAAGTCCTCTTCATACAAGTAAAGATGCACTGGGGGGAAAATTGCTTTTACTTCAGTCAGTTGAAGGAACAAATTGCTATTTGTTTTTGCCACAACACATTTGTTTTGTTCAGTTGAGGAGGAAATAGTTAAGAATATTTTGTTAATTGAGTTAAATGAAAGAAAGTTGTTCTCACTACCGAGAAACACAGTAATTTTCAGGGCTTGACTGAAATATCTCAACAAACATTGGATAGGTTGCACGAGGACATTTTGCCCATACATCCTAATGACTTTGGGAATCCCATACGTTTTCCTGCAGTGCCATTATTTTTTTTTAAATGTTGACCCCCTGATGTTTTTTAAGATGGTTAACATGGTAAACATTTCCCCTGCTTGTCATCAACACAACCGCGCACCATTCTTATATCCTCTACTCCCAAGTCATATCAGTTACAATAAAGCACAGATTTTTCCTTTGATAATTTTTTACAAAAATACCACCTAATAAACAAACAAACAAAGCTCTTTCATTTCAAATTTAGTTTTTTCTTTCTTTATGTTCTTACCTGCTTTTATTTTTTGTTTGACTGTTTTGCTCTAAGTATTTGTTTTGCATTCATACACCAAAGCAAATGTCAATCCATTTACCACAGTATGATTATAGACTCTTGTTTTCATTTAACAATGTTTTGTTCTTATTCCCTGTCCTAGATCAAATATTCGCCCTGAGAAAGCGAACCACAACTCCCACCAGTTCAAGATGCACACCTTTGAGAGAATCACTTCCTGTAGTTTCTGTCACCTCTTGCTCAGGTAATATTTTTACTGTATGCTTTTGATCAGAAGTCCTTATGAACCACAGCTGTAAAGGGTGAACATGAACTATAACACTAATTGTCCTATGTTGGCAGGTCATCATGTGTTATTGCACTATTCAAATTCACTTTCAAATATGTGTTATACTTTATTGAACATATGAAAGAAACACCATGACATTTTTTGTTTCAGTCTTCAAAATGTTTTGTCTTTTAATGTATCCTCTCTCTTAAATGTCACATTGCCTCTCTTAAAGAGGCAGTTATACATGAAGTATGTCCTGTGTTTGTTTTTCAGGGGCATCTTTAACCAGGGTTATCTCTGTGTTAAATGTGGGCTGGGGGCTCATAAGGAGTGTCTGGGACGACTGGGAATCTGCGGGAGAACAGGTGAGAGGGAAGTCACAATGGAGAAAAACTAAATGTGTTGTGTTTCACATGTTAACACTTTGGTCCCTTTAAACTTATTGTGAACACCACTGTAATCATTTCCTAATTGTTCGGGAAAGTTCCCTTTAGCGCCTAATTTTCCGCACACAAAATATCTAAATCCAAGAGGCAGATTTTCGTTAAATGGATCAAGTGCACACACACACACACACACACACACGCCAGATTGCCAACCTTGTACACATCTTATCTAACAGCTGGCATGCTATGGCATTTGTTGTAAATATTCATAGCCTCCATGCTTTTGAATATATAACCCCTTGATCTTCTCTTACTTAGCGTTCCCCATGCCCACATTGCTTCTCAAACATACCCTTTTCCCTCTTCAAAGAAAATTAAAATAGTGTTTTTAGAAAAACTGCACATTACCTATGACGTTTAGCATTCAGATTGTGCTCTAAAGATATTTAGCCATTGTTGCATCTGACTCCCGTGTGAAGCTTCAGCTCTTTGTCACCAGTGTGGGGCTGTAGTCCAGGTACATTACCCTCACCGACAGCTGAAGGCAGCTCAGGCCTTTGACATGCTTTTCTGGAGCAGCAGCGCGGTGGTCTTTATGTATTCTGGGGCGTGATGAGGGCCAGCAGAGGTTGACAGTTGAGGTTGTATGTCAGGAAGCGACCACACACTCATATTGTATTCTTCTCACTTTGTTTGTCTCTCACCTGACTGCAGATTCCACCAAGCTGAAGCCCAAGGTAAGTGTCTACTGTTTTTCTTCGTAACTTACGCCTATGTACTTATTGAAGCAAAACAAAGCAGATAAGATCATATTCACCAATACATGTGGAGTGATTGGCCAAACTCCTGTCAACTCATAACAGATGACCAATAAGATCTACTGCTGCTGCTCTGTGGGTTAAGACTAAGTTAATGTTTGCTGTCACTTCACTTTGAATCGAAAATATAATGGATCTTAGGTAAAAATAAAACTATAAACCATAGGCCCGTCCACACGGCGGCGTGCGTTGAAGCTTCAACCCTTCTGCCCATTCACTTTGAATGGGGTGACGTCACGCTTCGCCGAACTGCATTGTGGGAGCGTCGCTACGCGTTGCTCACGTTGCTCACGTTGCTCCTTCAAAAGTTGAGCAATGTTCAACTTTTGAAGCTTCGACGGAAGCGTCAGCCAATCAAATCATATGCCAGTACAAGGTCTAGCTAATCAAACCGCGTGCCCCTGTGTCCGGGGCGGGAGATTCATGTAATTGATTGTTGGTCGAGTTTCAGACACGCCCACCCGCCGTGTGGACGCTGCATAATTAAACTCTCAAAAAGTATATTTATTACTTTTTCTGTGTCACATTAGAAGCTCAATATAATTAACCTGTCAGAAAAGTACGAGGGCTTTTACCTTTAAAACCCTGTTTTTGTAATTTGTGACAGCTAATTTGAAGACTAGTCTATGATATCCAGGTGGTTTGTGGATAATATTTTCATATATAATTTCCGACAAAGAAAAAAAGCTCAGAAACAGACCTCCTTCATTTTACTCTTTTATGTAAAATAGTTAGACCAAACATCCAAAGAGTAAACACTCACAGATAATTGTTTTTAAAAGTGTGACTCATTGTTCGGCTGATTGAATGGCCAGTCTATTTCTCTCTCCATATTTCTTCCTTCCTTCCTTTATTTATTTTTTTCCGTTTTGCTTAGGGTACTTCCTCTCCCCAACAACAGGAAATCCCAACACCACCAAACTCAGGTCAGTATGGCTGAGGAACTCTGCCTCTACTGTATGAACCTTCTTAAGCTGTTTCTCAATTCAGACACAACAAACATGAGGAAAATGGCACGGTTAGTCAGAGGCCAAGGTTAGACCTGAAGGAAAAAGATTATAGCTTTCCCTCAGATGGTATCAAACCTACAAAACCTCACATTATTTATCAAATATTGCTCAACGTATTCTTCTTGGAAATGCAAGGACGTGAATCTCCCATGCTCACGAAATGGGTTTAAAGGAGAGCAACAGCAGTTTCTTTTTGTTGACTGATATATTTGAGTAAGAATAACCTATGAATAAAAGGATGTAGAAGGGATCCTTAACCAATGCACAAAGCCTTTTCTCGCCGCATGCTGTGATGCCTACACCCGAGACGGCATTGAGATGAATTGGAGTGGGTGGAGTCATTATGAGGACTCCTGCAGGAGAAACGCTGGCGGAAAAGCACTTCCAGCTGTCTATATGCCTCGGCCTCAACCGCTGAGCTGTGCCTTTGTGATAAATCAATTTCCATAAGGGGCTTTATTAGAAAGACAGCCATGCTTATTGTTCTTATTAAAAACATGAATTTGAGGTATTCCATTCATCTGAGGTCACCGGCAGCTAATAGTTTCCTCGGGCTGGTTTGCAGGGGAGCCATGGCTGGAGGGGAGATGTGTCTGAGGGGGCTAGATGTGTGAGTCTGTGGAGAGTAAGTGGCTGTGTCTTTAAAGTTGGCAGGGCCGTCTAGTCTTAGCCTTAGCTGGATGCTTGTGGCTGTGTTGGTCTGCCATGCCGAGGGAAAAGATTGGAGCTGCACCGTACACGAACCAAAGAGATTAATTTCCCTGTGACTGTCAATCCCTGTCTTTTGGATTGTTCCATTGTGTTGGTTCAATCAACATGACTGTCAGGAAGTCACATGTATGTACCTGTGAGGGATAATACATGCTGAGACTTTTAGGAAAATGTGTAAAATACATACTTTTGTATTAAACAACAATAGGTTATCACCCAGTGCGTATTCATGCAGATAGTCATGCCTCGGAGATTTCTGCTGTCAACTCAATACGATGCAGCGTGTCACGGAAAATGTACGTAGTCGTTCTTAGTTAACTGAAAATCTGCAATTAGATAGCAACTTATCAGGATCCAAAAATCATGTTTTTGCTCACTTCAGCTTGCTGCAGTTAAATAGAAATGTACTCAAGAGCGAGATATTACTGTTGTGACTAAGAAGTCAAGTAAAAGTAACAGGAAATGCATCAAACATATGCCCACTGTTCATATAGACGTAGTTCCAGTTGGCTCTATTGCAAATAATAGTTCCTTTAGACTTAAAAGCATTAAAATCACATTTTTAGTTAAGAAGAAATTAACATACAGTGTAACTCAGTTTCAATCTCTTTGTTGTACACATTAACAGTATTTTTGAACATACATTTAATAGATACAAAATACTGTGACTATGTATGACCAAGACCTTCTTAGACTCATTCATGCTACACAATATTATTTATCTTGCACCTGCTGTATCTTCCTCTGCATAAGACTCTCCGATAAATGTTTAAAAAGTTGAGTGTGCATGTGTTTGTATTCCCTGTCTGCCAGGTTTACCGAGGATGGTTGTGATCAGAGACTACAGTGGCATCCCCTATCCGCAGTGTGGGCCCCCACTAAGCATTCATGCGGGGGATGTCATTGAACTGATGTTTGCCGACCTGCACAGCTCCTGGTGGCAGGTGCGTGTCACTCAGCTCATCTTCGTTTTATCTGAACATCTGTGACTCTATGAAAAGATAACATGTCACGGCTCACCGGGTTGGCTCAGTGCACGCAAAGTCTTTGCAGTGTCATGGGTTTGAAGCCGTGCCGCATGTCACCGTTTCTCCCTCTTACCTGCTGCACGTCCTTCTATCCGATAAAAGCTTTGAAACTAACGGGGTGACATCGACAATTTATCTCCTTTGGCCGTTATTGTTTATAAATCACACATCATAGCGAGGTTGTTTTATCACATTCTGTGTCCTGTCAGGTGAGCCATAAATATGACAAAATGATGAGGTCAGCGTTAATTAGAAATATGAGTCGAAATATCTGTTTGAACTCCGCAGAACCCCAGTTACATTAAAAGTAGGATATCTGTCTGTTCTTTCACTCCTCGGATTGAATCACAGCCTCCATCAGATGATCTAACCAATTAGTGGCTTCAGTTGATTAATTGAGTGCCACAGAACGACGATAAAACAGCGGACATGGGAGTCTCTGGAGGACGTTTTAATGGTTGGTGCACAACCTCGAGCACAGGCACATTTAGCAACCATCTCACGAGGTCAGCCAAAGGTTGACAGCGTTTGACCTTATCCATTTTTGAAAGGATGGGGCGATTTATCTGGGGTCTTCCGGCAGACTCCCTAGCTGTTTCTCACTGTGCTTTACGGCTGCATTAAAGCCTCATCCTCATGTTGGTGCTGCTCCAATCAGACTGCAGTCTTTGCCAACGGCACCGCTGGGATTTGGCACCTGGCCAGATTTCCTATGCTCCATGTTTCTCTCTGTTGTGGCAAGAGCACAAGGTGGATGGAGAGGACATGAATGCCGGGAGACTTCTTGTAAGCCGAAAGAACGACTCGCTGAATGTCACGCTGCAGACCTGATGGCACTGCATTGTTTGCTGCCATGGCAACAATGCATGCTGGAGGGGGATAATTAAAGGAATTAAATGATAATACACATTTGTGTCTATTCCAGTAGGGTGCATAATGATACTGCAACAAGGCCCTCCACCAAAAAGTCAGATCCAATTAGCTAATTGTTCTGGCTTTGCATAGCAGTGAATAGATGCAATTATATATACATCACATGTGCAAGGCTATTGGACAGCAATGTTAATGGGAAACTGATTTTGACTCCAATCCACACATGTACTTTAATAAGTCACTATATCAATCAATATTGAAGTGTCTTTAATAAGTGCTATATACATTACATTTATTATTATTATTTTAATATTATTTTATTATTATGTTATCTGTTTCATTATATGTTGTGGTTTGTAGCCTGTGTTTTTACTTTTTTCACAGGGCGGTAGCATATCAACAGATGGTGGCAGTAATAAGCCAGAAAATGTAGGATTCAGTGTACAAAGAGAAAAAAGGATTAAAATACTCAAATATAAACAATATAAGTTTCAAAGCATGAAATAAAGACTTTGCAAGAGTTCTCAACACGTGTGTGAGGGTGTTGCGGTCACACACAATGCATTTCGGTGGGAAACACTGAATCCAAAGAAAACCCTCTTTGTTTACAATGACATCCCCACAGGGTTCCTTTAATCTTCAGCGTCCCCAGTGGCGCCAGAGGATGGAATTACAGAACATTGAGAATTCATATCCCCTGTTACCCAAGAGGCAATTATCCCCCGTCCCACTGGCAGAACAATACAATCAATCACTGTAATTTCATTTGATCCTTTGGCTGCTGCCTGTTTATGCCAACAGAGTAATAAGTTTAATCTTTATCATACGCTTATCGAAGGCATAACAAATAGAGAGGGCCTTTCAAAAAAGCTTTGATGAAATGTTATTACACAGAATGAATCATTGAGATGGGTAAAGATTCGCTTTCCAATCTAGTTACTGCCGGGGCTTGCACGGTCCCAAAAAGCATTTCATACTCTAATAAAGAAGAGTGAGGAGGAGAGCATGCAGGGCAGGAAGCTGAATGAGGGGCTCCACATGCCCTCAACACTCACTGTCTCCTCAGATTGACTCAATGGACTTCAAATTGACCTCAAACTCAGAACTGGAAACTCCAATTATCTGTAATTTAATGTTGATATACTGTATATGCATATTACTGTCTTCCAGGTAATGTACATGATAGAGTACTAAGGTTATACAAATAAACTGAACATCTGTAGCCGCCTGTTTGTTTAAACAAATTAAGTAATTTGTTTAAACAAAGTGGTTTATTAAGTCTACACTGTGTTTGTTGAAGGAATGACTGATTTCCATATAAAGCTCATGTTGTGCTTGAGGCAGGTTAGCTAAAATGCAATTGTTAGTCTTTAGTTCAAGCCAAAGAGCTTGCGCTGTTTGGGTATTCAAAGACCAGAATAAGATCCATTATTTAGTGTTAAACGAGGCTCTTGTTTTGATGCAGTACAAATCTAACTGCCGGCAGAGTTTGAACCATAATTAACTTGGGCTGCAAATTAGATGCACCGCTTGTTGTGTGCTAATTGCTGAGGATTTATTGAAGCTAGTGTGGGAGGGGAAGAGAAAAAGGCAGCGAGAGGGAGAGAGAGGTGTAGTTGCTTCCAGACAAATATAATGCGATTAACAGCCAGTTGCCTTTGCAGGGGAGAATCCTGGCAACAAGCAAGATTGGCTTCTTTCCAAGTGACGCTGTGAGGCCATGCCCATGTGTAAGTGTGCATATTTTTCACGATCAATAAGACATACTGAGTGTGATTACAATGCATTCAGTGGATAATGGCTACTATTGATGTCTTGGTACTGAAATGTAAGGCTTTTCAATTGCACTTTTTCGCTCTAGAAGACTGATTTTAGCCATTAGATGTGGCTTGAATATCACATCACAACAAATGACCTGCACCTCTGTGTATTGACTCCATTTAAACACAAAATAACAGCACTTCTTTTCAATGCCAGGTTCCAAAACCTGTCGATTACTCGGCCCAGCCCTGGTGAGTGATAACAACAAATGACTGCAGATTGCTTGCAACAACCACAAGTCATTCCTACTCTATTTGATCTATTGCATTGACTGTTTTCATCCTGTTTAGAATGATTGATTGCATTGTAAGTGCAGAAGTTGTTTATGGGTGTTTCAGGTTTGCAGGGCCTATGGAGAGATACCAGGCTGAGGTGGAGCTTCTGGACCGAGGAAACAGCACCTATCTGATTCGACACAGGAGTAAAGAATGCACTGAATATGCCATAAGTATAAAGTAAGTGACATGATGGCTTGTTTTCCATTTATTCCCATACTTAAGCTACAATTTACACTCACTTCAGTTTACCAAGGATGGTGAAATAAACAAAACACATGCAGTCAGCAGCAATCTTGTTGGCGAAAACACCTTATTGTTAGAGGCGAGTGGCAAGAATCATTTAAGCAAACGCCCACATGCAAACAATAGCCCTCTACAACAGTATCTGAAAACAAGCAGCTCATCAAATGTTAAAAGTGGATGTGCCGCAGCAGGATGAGGCCATGCTGTTTTCAACTCTGGCCAATGAAATACAAGAAGTTACAGTGACTATATAATCATGAAGAATGGAAAAAAGTTTGCCAGCTATGATGAATCACGATTGATCCTTGAATGCAAATAAGATAAGACTTTATTTATCCAGAAGGAAATTGTTGTGCCAGAGTTACACAAATACAATAAACACAGCAGCATGATGGTAAAAATGTACACTAAAAGTTCAGTAAAAAGAGCAATTAAATATCTAAAAAACATAGACGGTCACTAATTAATGTAATTATTACCAGATGGAGAGACAGAATTAAGATTAATGTCTGTTTTGCCAAAATCACATGAAGCCTGTAAGGGGACTTTGAATTTGCGATAACATTAGACAAGTAGGAAAAATACTCATTGGTCAGGTCAGCATAGCAGTAGCTGTTTACGATTGTTTATGCTCCCCCTAAAGTTTTTAGACATGTAAAGAGAAGGAGACAGTTCTTACGACTCATATTTGGCATTTCAATTATTTGAAACCCAAGTGTATCTTACAAGTAAAAAATTGTGTATGTTCACACATTGCTTTTACGGTTTATTTTAGCACTTCACAGACAATGCTGTTGCAAGTTTTTATTGGAACTATTTAGTACAGTAGAGAGTCCAAATGAAAACCGGTGCAAATGAAGTCTGTTCCTGGAAAGACTAGTTGCTGTTAAATTTAAAGACTCTGAGCATCAAACAAACTGATACGCATCTTTATTGAGATACAGGTAGATACATATCCCTTAAACTGGGAAAAACCAAACCACACATCTCTGCACAACTACACACTAGAGGTAATTGAGAATGCTTTTATTCTAATTTGAGCATTCATTCTTCCTGTGTTAGTGCATCAGGGCTCATTAGGTACTTCATTACCTTAACATTATTGAAGTTCATTTTAGTTTACCCTGATCGTCTTCTCAGTCCACACATTGCAGCTAAATGCAGCATTGTGAAGATGTGGAATTGATGATCATTTTTACCACCGTCTACTCTGCTCAGACATATTTTCAAGGAGAGCCTGATAGCTTTGCACCATACTCTTTGCTACTCTTTGGCTATCAGTCTAAGAAATATATTTCAAAAGATGGCTAGAAACCAACTTGAATTGTAGATAAAACTTGAATCCCTTTAGGCTTTTAAAAAATGTCTGCTTTATCTGCCAGTTGAATGTGTCGGTATTCCTCTTTGAAATACAACACTGGCCATTTAACTGGTGAATATCTTTAAGGCTACATCAGAGCTTGTTCAGTTTTATAAAAAGGAATCGAGACCTCCTGACATGACGGCTCTCTGAGATTATAACGATTGAGGGTGCGCTCTGAAATTGTGTTTGGATGTTAGGACTATTTAGACAGTGACACACCATTCTAGCCCATTTGGTTTTGGTGGACTCACACCGTCTCTCATTCAAAGCTTTGATGTACAGGGCCAGTCTCTGAACACTCCAATCCTAATTGCCTGTCTCACTGCTTAAGATCATTATCAGGATGGCTATTTGAGATAATGGAGCTTTTATACAGAGAACTGCTACTAATCAACTGGAACTGTCTAGTGTCAAACACGTGTGTGTGTGTGTGTGTGTGTGTGTGTGTGTGTGTGTGTGTGTGTGTGTGTGTGTGTGTGTGTGTGTGGCCTTGGGAGCCTATAGGAGGAAGGAAAGACTCACCAAACAGGGCTCATCTGTCTCTGGCACTATATAACTCAACACACATCAATAATGTATTACTCGCCATAGTCATAATGTATCTGCGAATTTGCAACATGATCACATTCTTCTCATTCATACACTGCATTGGGAGATTTACAATACAGATCCATCTCCGGTGTAACATGCATATCACCATGCGGGCCACATGGAATGTACAGCACTGTGTCTGCAATTGGCTTGACGGCACATTCCCACTGGCGCCGAACAGTATGCATGTACAGAGACGTGTGTGTGTGTGTATCTTCAAGGTCGGACCACACTGCGGTTTTAAAGAGGTAGTCTGAGCTATGAGTCTCACATGACATATTATTATTTCATAATTTCCTTAATTGATCAGGCCTATTGCTCCCACCTACATTACATTATGTTTTAAAGGTATTCTTTGTGATGCATGTTCTTATCTTGGGTAAAGAGAGCACATCCATGGGGTGCTTTAATAAAACAATCACATGAAATAATTAACAGAAAGGTAAAGCAAAATAAGAAGAAATCCACAGTGGATATTTTGACATGTAATAGTAGGAAAGGTGTAATTTATAATATGAATACTGTCAGAGCCTTGTCAATGTGTTTGCTGGCTCATTCACAAGGCTGTCTGATACACTGATATGGAAAAGAAGCATGACTGTTATTAATTACCCCTGTGCTTTCACTGCGATCAGTCAAAATGTTTTTTAAAAAGGCCCATTATTAAAGCTGGTGGTGACAGCTACAAACCAATCATACAACATTTAATCAACAGATCAACACAATGCATTTAATAAAAACATAGACATATTGAGGGTGGACAGTTCCCTTTAAGTCATTTACATTTCAAAGTATTTTCTCCATAGGTGACACAATGTCCCTTTTGTCCAGGGGTGATTTGTTTCCTGCTCATAGCCATATTTAAAATGTAGGAACTTTTTCATGTTTCCAGGATGGTAGCAGTTTAACTTGGATTCTCATCATGAGTTAATTTGTTAAACAAAAAAACATACATTTAGTTAAAGGTGGGGTAGGTAATTTTGGAGAAACCAGCTCGAGTGCGCTAGAATTTGAAAATACACAACCGGAACAAATCTGCCACTTCCTTACAGAGCCCCTCCTCCAACACACACGAACGCGCACATGACCAATGAGGGCACGAGATAAGTTTGTGCACAGATGGAAGGCTGACAGGCAGGTAGGCCATCCAGTTATTTTAGCCGGGCCGGCTCAGATGATTGGTCGTGCTTTTTACAGTGCCACGGCTTCCACAGATGACATTTTATTAATGTATTTATTGTCAAAGCATTTAATATATTCATTGCTATCGGGATGTTAAGAGCATTCCATGGAATATAACAAAAAGTGTTTCTGAAATAAATTACATAACCCACCTTTAATTTGTGTTTTTTTCCTCTTCTGGGTTTGAAAAAAATACTAAACTGCTATTTTCAAAAGATAAATAGATTGTTACAAAGTTTAATTGGTTCCGACAGTATTTAAGGGAAAACAAAGGAGGAAAGTATTTTAATCATGTTTTTCTTGTTAATTGCTCAAAATGTTTAGCTCGTAATGCCTCCAAAAAGATTTTAAATCCACCAGTCGAAGAAAGAAACCCCATGTCTGTAATAACCGCTAACAAGTCATGTCCCCTTTAAGGCATTACCTGGAATAAAGAGTCACCAGCAGACTCTGGTATATTCATTCATCTTACATTGTGTCCCTATGCTGCTTATATTATTATCTAATGTGAGTGAATTTGATCTGATTTTGACAGCAGGGAAAACCCAAGGAGTTCTTGTAAAACAAAGTTGGCTGGCTCTGCTCAGCATGGCAGCCGACAGTCAGACCTTCGTGATGGTTCACCACAGAGACTGGATTGATGTGGAAGCATGTATAGTTGATTAGCAGCCCATGTCTTATTCATCCTCCACAGGTTCAACGATAAAGTCAAGCACATTAAGATTCTGACTAAGGATGGCTGCTTTTACATCGCTGAGAGCCGGCTGTTCGGGACTGTGCTGGTAAAGGTTTTAACTTTGTATGGATTTGTGTGCCCTATAAAATACTGAAGCATTAATGAGTATAATCATTTTGACATTACATTGCTTTTGCTGCACTCCCTTGAGATAAACCCCCAGCATGCAAGATAAAGGTTTACTTTTGTTTTGTAAAATGATAAAATATCTGGTTTATTTCTACATTTGTGTGCACAGATACACGGACATGTTGTTAGCAACTGCCTGTGGTATTGTATCTCAATAGCTAATATTAGCTTGTTCCCAGTACTTAAACTTGAATTGGGTAGATAAAACATTTTTTTGCGGATAGTTGCCCTACTCATAAACACTTCCTCTGCCTGCTGTTTTATTATTAAGATCAAACAAGCAGTTACTTCCTGACCAACGTACCCACCCATGTCTTTGCATTTATTTCTATAAATTTGCACACAATAGCATCTGAGTTTACATTGGATTTTCTTTACTAAGAGTTTGTTTTGTTATATTGTGCTTGTTTAACACAGGACTTGGTGGAATACTACAAGCAACACTCACTAAAGGAGGGTTTCAGCAGTCTTGACACCACTCTGCAGGTCCCCTATAGGGAGATGTCCAATGGAAACTCGCCCAAGGCCAATACCAAGGCTGGCAGTGGTGAGTGTGCTTCAATAATCCAGATACTCTCTGAGAGACTCCCTGACACAGGAAAAGTTACCAGTTCAGATCAGATCTGGATCCGGGGTTACAGTTGAAAGTAATTCAAAGCATTTGTTTTGAGAACTGTAGAGATGGGTTTACAGTTCAGATAAAGTGAGGCGAGTGGGTTTCCCCTCAGAAGTAGACCAGTGTGGATTTCTTTCTCTAAAGTAAGTTTTAGAAACTGATATTTGACAGTACAAACAACAGAACAAGCTAAGGGAAGAAAACTGCTAAAATCTGTATTTGACTTGCTATATCCCCGACTACAGACCAGCTAATGTACTGTATGACCTCACTTCTAAGAACTATAGAAAGATGTCCCACACCACCACGTAACATTATGAAATTATGATGACAGAAAGCATTTGTCTGGCTTTCAGACACCGTGTGTCTTAATACCTGAGGCAGCCCCATCTGTGATATTTGAGACACGCTAGAAATATTTAGCAGAGTTTAATGAGCCACAGGATTCCCAAGGGAACAGCACTGGCGGAAAGATAGTAGCAGCTTTTCTTGGGAGACATGCTTTTGCTGTTTTGCTGGATTGAGCCTTTTTCACACTTTCCATCATTACAATGAAGTCTTATACAACATTTTCTCTTTATGACATCAGACCTAGACTTTTGGTTCTGAAATGTTTGCTATCGGTGTTGCTAACTTGCAAACAGTGCTTAATGTAGGTTGGTCAGTAATGTATGTTTTATTCTCAAGGGTCAAACCTTTTTTTTTTAATTGGCTTTGAATTCATTTGAAGACAATGACTCATACATATATCATGCCTTATTTAATGTTGCTTAAAGGATGCACAAGATGGTGAAATGTACACAATCAAGGATGCATTACTGTGAATGTGCACTCAACCTTTGTTATGTAAGGTATGGCTTTGGGTTATGAGGCTATGCATGCTATGTGAAAGACCCCTTCCCCTTCACAGAAGATGTTGTATAGAATTATTGTTAAACTCAAATATGAGAAGCTTTCACAGGGTATGAATGAAACATGCAGCCAAGGTAACGTTGCTAAAGTACCGGTTACCTTGTGCTGAATAGGTAATTGTTGACCGTGAGAGGTAAAGCAGCGTCTCTGATTTCAACCTGCAGGCTTCAACAGACATGAATAAATGCACACTCGAGCTTAAATTCAACAAGACCGGCCCCTGCGTGATTACTGGCCCTCGGAGACAGGCGCAGATGCTCATTCACTCTGAGGAGGCATGTGAAGGAGAAAGGTCCTGAGGAAGACGAAGGACAGAGAAAGAGGCAGGTTAGCAATAGAGAGTGTGAGAGGGGGACAGTGTGGATAGAGTGAAATTGACAGAAGTAGGGGGAAAGAGGGAGAGTGTTGGATAGGTAGCATTTGAGGAAGAGGTGTAAGAAAGTAAGATAGGGTAAAGGAAGAGAGAACTATTTGGGACAAAATATCGATGTAAGAAAAAAGCTAAGAGAGCTAATGGCAAGGGGAGGGAGAGAGAGAGTAAATAAAAGAGCACAATTAAGGGTCATCTGGAGGCTTTTGTAGTGGAGTTAATAAACCTTGAAGCTAACCAAGAGTTAGAGGAGGAGATAGAAACCACGCTCTTGTCTGTGCAATAAAAATAGGGCTTTTTATGCTATCTTATTGTAGTGGAAAACTGGAAACTCCGGGAGTCAGCTGGCAGCGTTCTGCAGCATAACACATTCTTTTCATTTATTCAAACCAAAGTGTAAAAACAACATTTCATGGGATATTTTTGTTCCATAATTATTTCTCAGCTACGTCTGGAGACTCCAGCAAGTTGTTGTGCTTAGCCAAGGATCCTACTCCTCACTATTGTGGTATATTTATCTTATTGACACTAAGTCTGGTAAGATACCCAAACAAGTTTTTCTCTCAAAGTGTTGAACCATTCCTCTCTGCCAAACTGTACACATTACAAGCCAGACCACCTCCCACTAACATCTAATGTATTCTTGGGATTTTGCACCTTCATATTAACCTGTTTGTTTTGTATAAACACATATTCAAATACAGATTGCATTCTAATAGCTAGTGTGAATGAGGTAGAACAAAGACACAATGCGGAGAAGGCAGGGGGGAGGGATACCGGAAGAGACAAAGACAAAGTAGGAGAGCCAGAGAGTGAAGTAACTAAAAGGAGCGTCGGCAGCTCACCAGGCTTGGCAGGGAGGTCCCAGTTAGGGCCCAATGCCCCAGGCAAGCACCAGGAGCCTGCTACTCCAAACGTCACACTGCACACGCTGCTCAGCTCCGAGATGGCTTCACAATTTTCCTGACAGGACATGACATTTCACTTGGGCTGGCAGTGGAGGAAACTGTGTGACAGCCGCCTGCTGACACACACCTGGGGGACACCCCTGGTCCAACTGAGGCACTGCGCCTGCTTCCATAAAAAAAAACTGGGAAAAGTTTGCAAATATGATCTGATGCAAAAGAGCAGAAAGCAGCTGGAGGTAAACTGTCTTAACTTAAAGAGAGACGTACGTGTAAACAAGCACAGTTGCTGCAGCAGAGGGAAGCAGGCAACGCCGGAACAAAGTCAAAGTTAGCCCTTTGTGTCTGCTCGGATGTAAAATTCTGCTACATCCTTGTCCCTCTGCCTCCGTTGGCAGCAACGCTCTCCCAGCGCATCACGCTTCAAAGCAGCTCTGCAAGAGGTGTGTTTGTGCATCGCTGCCAATCAACACGCTTTGCTTCTGTGTGAAAGCCTTGATAGACCCGGCATTGCCTCAGTGCATTCTGGGATAGATTATTATTGCCTTAAGTCGTCCACCCCCATAGACAGACTTAGTGTGGGCAACACGTACTCTGTCGGGTAAACAGCCTCCACAGAAAGACAGATGTCACGCCAGAAACACAAAGCACACACAAAATGGTTTGAATCTTAAAACAGACAACTCTGAGTGAATGCAAGCCTGAGCAAACAATCACAAGATGCAGAACTACCGAAAAAAACATCAACACAGTCATTTGTAATTAGAGGAATCCCAGCCGGCAACTTTAATTAAGTGTGTGTGAGTGTGTGTGTGTGTGTGTGTGTGTGTGTGTGTGTGTGTGTGTGTGTGTGTGTGTGTGTGTGTGTGTGTGTGTGTGTGTGTGTGTGTGTGTGTGTGTGTGTGTGTGTGTGTGTGTGTGAGTGAGTGAGAATGTGAATGTGATGGATGGGAAACCATTTAAAATCATCAGTGTTAAGATTTACAATTTTGTGGTCTTAAAAAAGGATTCCAAGTGAATAATCTTCAGCATTTAATAGAGAAATATAGAAAATATTATTGGATGTTTAGTTTGATAAGATGAAACTGCATCAGTATAATTTAAAGGGCCCATGTCATGCTTTTCCAGTTATTACCCGTCCTATTGGGGAATCTTATGTTGTGTGATGTTTGTGCCGAAGCCGCCTCATCCAAAAACAGCACTCCGGTTCGAGAGTAGACGCGGAGACAGGAAATACAGTCTTTGGACTTTATTTCAGCTTGATTGCTTCTTACAACAGCTGTAGCAGTATTGAATGATGAATGAATGAATGTAGAATGATTGAATGGTTTCTGCAAAATACACAGAAATAGAAATAAGGTTCACATTACAATAACTAACCAGACTCTGGTTATTAATAATAAGCAACAGCAATTCTAATTGAGGCTAAAACACATTAGAGACGTTGCAAACACACACATGGCTAATCAAGGCTAAGTTAGCATCTCATCCACACAGGAGCTCCAACAAGCCGTGTAGGACAAAGAGTGAATACACACACTATACAGAGATGCTGTTTGAGAAACCGTGAGTTTGGAAAATTGCCCAATATAAATCTATTCTAGTATACCTCAACAATGGAATTATGATCAGAAGAAATGGCCATGACATGGGACCTTTAACAGACATACGTTTTGTGCATTGCATCTTTATATATATATATATATATATAAAGCAACGGACTAAGTATGCAGATCTTTTACTAAGCTTTAACTAAATTAAAATTGTAACATCACAGTGTAAATACCCCGTAACAAGTCTCTGTGGTATTCAAAATTCTAAGTAAAAGTAAAACATTAGCATTAATAAGTATTTATAGTTCAAAAAGTACCAGCAAGAAAGAAAAAACATAATGTAATACTTTATCATATTTAGTGATCCTTTAATGTGTTCATCACTTTAATTGTTACACTGGTAAAGGTGGAACTTATTTATCTTTGCTATAAATAATGCCGTGTAGCTCTTGAGTCTCCTTGATCCTTGGTATACAATAAAATACTATTTTTTCATTATTAATTATTATAATAATATTATATATATATTATTTTTTTCAGCAACTAAAGCAGATGCATAAATGTAATGGATTAAAAAGTAAAGTATTTGCCACTGAATTATAGTACAAAGTAGCAGGAAATAGAAATACTCAAGTACTAGTTCAGTACCTAAGTTATAGTACTTAGGGACTGTCCACCACTGTATATATGTTTATGCACACATGTTTGTTTATACTCTGTGCAGGTATGTTGTGTGTGTGTGCACTCTGGTCAGACAAACAGTTGACACCTATTGGCCTGCATTTACTAATCCCTGTGGGCAGAGGAAGAAGTCATGTAACCATATTGTTGTGATGACAGCAGGCGGCTTTCTGAGTGTGAGGGGCTGCTGGCTCACATGGGATTTCATATGGGAGCAGAAGTCTTTGGCTCTGCGGTGTAGATGTTCTTGTCATTTCCTCGTGCTGTGCCCAGACGTATACTTACCCCCATACTGTTGCTCTGGCTCGCCTGGTCTGAGGCTTAAAAGGTTCTTATTGCTGTGTTATACAGTATGACTTGGGGGAGATTATAGAAGCTACAGTATGAATCCAGTTCAATAAGCTGTTACAACAGCTTCAACTCTTCTAGGGAGCTTCTACAGGAGAATTTAAAACAGCAGGGAATTGCTTCCATTGAGCCACAGAGCATCAGTGAGGTCGGCCACTGCTGCTGGGCAATAAGTGGGCGTTCACACCGAAAGCAGCCATGATGTTAACCTAACACAAATAGGCTGCCTTGGTTGGGTCATGTTGCTTCAAATACCAGTGGGATGTTTTCAAAATACAATCCAGGAACGCCAGTTAAAGTGACCTTCAAAGGCTTATCAAAAGCCAAATTACATGTTACTTACTAGAAGCTTTTATCCAAAGCGACTAACATACTCAATACTGTGGACAACCCCCACAGGAGCAATTTGGGGTGAAGTGTCTTGCCCAGGGACACAACGACATGCTGACTGCAGTGGGGTTTGAACCTGTGACCCCCTGATCCCAACACCAAGGCTCTATCCACTGCGCCACACACTGGATTTTTCGACTCAACGACAATTATTTTATCTGCCAACACGATAACTGTGTAGTAGAAATGTACTCTTCACATTTGATTGGCTACTGAAGCTCATTGCTGGGTGATACTGTGTTGCAGTGCAGCAAAAGTTGAGCTGGTGAAACTTTAGCTGGAAAACCCTCTGTGTTTTTTTTTAAGGACCTCAGCATTGGCCTCATGCAAAGAATTGAGAAGACGGGCCTTTTCAGATCCTCCCAAAGGTGTTGGAAGGGTCTCAGATCTTCCACACCAAACTTTGGAAAACCATTTCTCTATGGACCTGGCTTTGTGCAGGGGGGCATTGTCATGTAGGAAGGGCCCTTAAAACTGTTACCACAACGTTTGAAGCACAGTACTCTCTGAAATACTATTTGATGTTGTTGCAATAAGACCTAACCTTAATTATAAGGGGCATAGCCCAAATAATAGCTTGTCAGTATTTTCTGAAAATAATGTGTGTGTGGTGACTTGACAAATGTCTGATGCTCTAACAGTTTTGCCCTTCTCTCTCCCACCCGTCCTTGCTTTTTTCTTGTTTTTGACTTTGCCAACTTTTCCTCTATCTCCCTCTTCTTTACCCTCTCTCATACCCTCTTTCTGTCAAACTTGTGTTCACTTTGCCTATGTTCTCTCTTTGCTCCCACTACGGCCTGAATCCCCCTCCCATCGCTCGCTCCGTCTCTCTGTAGTTCCTCTTGGCGGCTGCAGCTTTGTTCCTCCCTCCTCCTCGCCTTTCTGGTCAGGTACAGGAACATCTTTTCTACTCTCTTCGTCTCTCACTTGCTGTTTGCCCACATTTCCAGGTTTCCAAAGACAAACTGTCTTGTTTTCTCCGCCTCTGTTAAATAATGTATTCTAATGATGCCGCTTATACGTCATATTGCTAACCCTAACAAGTCATCTTGTGGGAAAAAAACATTCACGTCAGCTTCCTGTAACTCTACATCGGAAATATTGCGAATTTCTGACAGCTCTGATATCTCCTCGGAAAATAACTTCAGAATTATCCACAAAACAGTGGCAAAGAAATGCAAAGCCACCATTTACATTTGACCCAAATCCAACAAATACTATCAATTCAGCTAATTAAAAGGGAAGAGATACAGTTTTGTGTTACACATAATAAAGGTATAAGATTACTCTGTCTGCCTTTGTGTGCATGTGCATATATTGTATATGCATGCATGTACTGTATGTGTTGGCTTAGACTTCTGTATTGGCATAATGCGCCTGTGTGCATGAGGGAGTAAATGTATTCCTTTCATCCAGCACATTTTCCCATTTGTATCTCCTGTATTTTCATAGATAAGGTAAACAAACCCGTGCACACCTGCGTCACAAGTGATATGAGCCCTGACCTGTATGAGTAGGAAAAACCTGGTATAACCTGAGAAATGCTCCTTGAAACATTTAATGATAGAAAGACATGAATATGATAACCCACCTCTACTTCTTTTATTGCAACCAAGCCAGGTAGCTGTATATATTTCTCCCTCATCTTTGTGGTTTTGCTTTTACATGTACACTTAGCTTAACTCAGGACCAGGAGTCAGGGCTGTCTTATCTAACAAGATCCAAAATGATTTTACTGTGGATAATACCTGTGTGTCATACCATTGAAAACCTTAACCATCAACTACAAAATATAATGAACATATACCACTGTATATGAAAGGTAGAGAAACTAAGTTTGCCTTGTGATTGTCCATGGACCCCAAAAGTACTTGGTTTCTAATTTGCAGTTGACCTGGAGTTTACATTTTCCTTGTCAAAGTTTTATTAAAATATAATAATAAGATCGGTTCAGGGTAATGTTTAAAAATCCTCGTCCTTAAGTGCTCTCAAGCATATCTAAGAGTATCCATACTTTTTCATTTGATTCTGAATAAAGTGCCAAAGAAAAAAGGAAGTGATTTTTCCCAATTTAAATCAAATGGCTGCTCTATGAACTTAAATAAGAGATGTCTCTCAATAATAAGACTCTTCCTCTCAGTGTTCTCCCCCAGGGTGGTGGGTATTGCCGTGGCACGCTATGACTTCAGCTCCAGAGACACGCGGGAGCTCTCCCTGCAGCAGGCTGACATCATCAAGATCTACACCAAGATGACCAATGGGTGGTGGAAGGGAGAGGTCGACGGCAGGGTAGGTCTCCTGTAAGATGTTATTACTGAAATGTGTCATAATGGCAGATCTCATCCTTACCCTGGTGTTTTTGCACTCTTATCAAAGTCAATGGTAGCTCTATAATTCCTTTACACATGTATTCTGCATGCAGTATTTTTACATATCGTTTTGATTTGAGAATTTACTCCTGAATACCAGGCATTAGAAGTGGAGTATTAGGGTATAATGTTCTGCTTTTGGTTAATTTGAACAAGAATACACAATGATTACCATCTCTTTGGGAGTAAAACCACATATGTTAAAGCAGATTTACTGTGGTGTTATTTTTGTGAGAATTAAGTCAGTTTATCTACTGATGTATACTAAATATTTGTGATTAAACTAATTAGAGCACATTTTTTCACAATACAAAGGCTTGATATCTGAGTGTCTGCATGGAGGGTGGTTTGATCTTGACAAGGTGGGAAGGAGAAGTAGAAATCTTTGTGTGTCTGTGCATTATTCAAAAATGTGAAAGCTGGGATCAGAGTAAGAGTTGGAGGTGACAAGGACTACAGTGTGAGAACAATTCACCCTTCAAAATCGGGAAAAATAATGAAATATTCAGAACTTACATGATAGATGTTTATTTGTCAATTATATTTTGCATTGAATGCATTTTCTCCTGTTATTTCGCCTTTTCAGATGGGCTGGTTCCCATCTACCTACGTGGAAGAGGAGGACTGACTTTGGGGGATGGATGACATCAAGTCAGCGTACATTAAAAGTTGACCTCCTCCTGTGAGCGCCATGCTGCTCCGCCACTCTCTGTGCCCTGCCAGTCAGATCTATTTGATAAAAACCCAGGGACTCAAACTGAAGAGCAAGCGGTGATGGCCTCAAAAACCTTCTCTTGCCCTCTGACAGACTCTCACAAAGAGCAGATGTCAAATCACAGATTCCAGGAGTGTCTGGCCTCTCTGCGGCCCTGTCTGTCCCCCGGTCCCACTGGGAAGTGCATGTGCTGTTCCCAGATAACCCTCACTCCTCCTTTCCTACTCACCTTGTCTTATTATTGATGACTACATTGGCTGGTGTGAGACTCGCATTCACTGTCATCATGTTTCAATACCAGGAAGGCTCAGTCACCCAACTGGAACACAGATCCTGCTGACAGCGCACTGCGCCCAGGTACCGCAACTAATTGAAATGCAGGAGCTGAGGAGTTCGACTGTTGTTGGAACAATAAAACCCTCTTGGCTGTTCAGACATTTGTGTTCAACTCTCTACCTGACTTTTTAAAGTTTAAATCACTGGACTGATGTAAACTGCTGTATGTGATATTTATATACTTTTGCTGAGTTTTGATCTGACACTGTTTTGATGGATTGATCTGTTATTGTAACCTTAATTACAATGTGTCTTGTTGAGCAAAAAGTCATGTGTTCATATCATCACAGGATAATGTTTTTAAAAGTTTTGGTATCCACCACTGATAAAACGATGTCTCCAAGCTTTGATTCCTTGTCTGTTATAATTTCGTTAAATCAAGTTTTACCATTTGATTTGACCTGCAAGACCGGCCAGCCACCAGGACAGAAAACAAATGGTTTGAACAACTACAGAATTGTTTGCACAGCCACAGACTGTCAATAACAGTTAGCTCAGGTAAGCTCATCCTTATGCTGGTCGTCTTCAACAGGGTCTTGACCTGACTGCAGTCCGTCTACGCATCTTGACTTAATTCGGCAAAAGCTCACCTCGGATGGCCTTCCACGTAATCACTGAATAATCCTGTGTTACCAAAACATGCATGTTATCCGTTGCTCTGGTCTAGGTAATCCATATAGAGCTTAGTAACGGTATTTTTTGAACAGCAACTTGTTAAGCCACACTCCTCAGTTGGATTGATATTCATGGCAAAGGAGTACATATTTTATCAAATGTATGTCCAAAATGTGAGTGATTTGCATTTTGTGTTTATGGAAAAAGTTATACAGTAGATTTTTTCACTTAACAAATGGGAGATAAAACAACACGTGAAAATCATAATATGTTTTATTCTTATTTTCATCTCTTGTTTCGCTATAGTTGAATTCCTGTCCCTTAAAGAATAAAAACAAAATACACATTCAAAGGATACACTTTGTAAGAATGGAACAAAAGAAAGGAAATAAATCAACAGCTGCAATAGAGAAGCTGCTGGTGTGCCTGCTCACCTGTCTGTCTACGGCCACAAGGGGGAAGAGTAAGAGATAGCATTTAGTGTGTGTGTGTGTGTGTGTGTGTGTGTGTGTGTGTGTGTGTGTGTGTGTGTGTGTGTGTGTGTGTGTGTGTGAAATTGGAACTGGCCCTGAATTAGCGGTTTATGAACCTACCACATGCACTTTAATAAACAATAAAGACAAGATTAAAATGTATGATTTAAACTGGAATTATTCCAAAAAGCGTACCGATCACCTAAATTGACATTGTTAATTGACTGGCTCCACCCCGTCGGCACGCTAAGTGACATAAATCAAACACAACGAAATGACCGGAACAGGTGGTACCGCTAAAGTTTTCAAAATGGATCTTCAGGTGATGTCGGCGTTCATTGAGGGGCTTGTACCTTCAGTGAGATTAGTTTGTAAAGAAATATCCTGCTCACTTTACAACTTCACACACACTCATTCCACCCCAAAATGTTTAAAAATGTTGAGTGTTTGGGACATAAAGACTGAGTGGACTGCTTAATGCTTGAAACAGCTTTATTTGAAAGATGTTGATCCTGGAGCATATTGGGGGGACTTCATGGTGCACAAGACTGACGGGAGGCCCTTCAAACCGGTGAGTTAAAGAAATGACACTCATGCAGCTCTGTTTTTGCTATTTGCCTAATATGCATTGTGTATTGTGTATCGTGTGTACTTTGGCCTTTGCGGTTTATATTGTAGCCTACATGTTGTTTCTCTCTTGGGGATGTTTTATTCTGCTGTTAACTCAATGATAAGTGTCTGTCTTAATGTATGTGGCTTAATGCATTGTGGCACACCCGCCGAGATGTGGCTTTTACTTGGCTCTAATCATTTATTTGGTCATTAAGTCGGTCATGTGTTGAATATTGAGTTTTGTCCTCTTTCTGGATTTACTTCTTGCAAGGCTACACTGAGAAAGATGCTGAATGATAAGCAGTTGTGTGCACAGGCTGCAGTGTCATCTATGGATAAGGATTATATTGGTTTGGCCTTAAGGGCTATGATGTGCTCTGGTCTAAGTGACTAGTTTATTCAATTTAATTTATAGACTTTAAGTGTTATTTAATTAATTGGATCTTGCATATTATGTCATCATATAAGCTTATTTATTTACTGTGCCTCTAAAAGTCCTATTTTATTACTTTTCCCTAAATACTTTTTACACAATAGAGGAGCTTTAAAGGTGGGGTAGGTACATTTGAGAAACCGGCTGCGCTAGAATTTGAAAATACTAGGCTTGTTTGAGACAAGCGAGACCTGCGCAATTTCGATCAACGTCTTGCTAGTACGTTGCCTGATGGTTAGTCATTTTGTCTGACTTGCTCTGGAGGCTCGCCTACATGAGACGTTGAAATCTCGCGGGACAAAGACGCCTGCAGCCTTGAGAGCGAGGCGCGGCGAGGCGGCGCAGTTCCTCTCCACGGAATTTTCTGAATTGTTTTGGTCGAATGTGAGAGATTGGTTGTTACTTGAATTAACAAATATTTCGGCCTTCAAAATATATCACATTTTATATTATATTGATAATATCAATATAATATAAAATGTGATATATTTTGAAGGCCGAAATATTTGTTAATTCAAGTAACAACCAATCTCTCACATTCGACCAAAACAATTCAGAAANTGTTTGCAATCCGCCAAAAAACCGAGAGAAGAAGAAGAAGAAGAAGAAGAAGAAGAAGAAGAAGAAGAAGAAGAAGAAGAAGAAGAAGAAGAAGAAGAAGAAGAAGAAGAAGAAGAAGAAGAAGAAGCAGCCGACTCGGAGCTGTCCGACTTCAGGCGAGCTTTTTGAGACCTCCCCCGGCTGCGATCGGCTATTC